TGATTACTATCATGCAGAAGTGCTGCACACACTGTAGTCAATAGCAACGATGCGCACAGGTGCCCAAGCTATAAATGTAGTCCCACAATAACCTTAAGAGATTTACTCGTCACAATGTGCCAACAGGTCTCACTAACGGCAATACAACGTAGACACATTGCTTTTGGCGTTATACTAGTTTTCTTCAGCATAGCCCTAATCATAGCTGAATCAAAGCACCCAAGTGATTCCTATGTCGGCTACTGGGTTGGAACTGTAGGACTTCTTCCTGCGGTCTTCGCAATCACTTGTGGAATCAAATCAATCCGACCCCTTTTGATTACGGCTGCCGTATGTGATTTTATATCATCATGCACTTGCGTCGCAGGAGCAATCATTTCCCTTGTGTTTTTTTCCGTGCATGTCTACGCTGTTGGATGGCTATCGGTGATTCTCACCACTTTTCTTATTTATCACGCTTTTGCCACATTAGGTGAACTTAATATTTGCTGCAGAATGGCTATTTTTGAGATGTCAGATGTTGCCTCTGAGGAAACAAATCACCGCCGTCATGAACCTGATATACCTGCTCCTCCGATTGGTTTTCTTATGCCAGATGAGGTGCCTAAGCCCCCAAACTATGACCAAGTATCAATCAGGGGTGATCCACCGGCTTATTATGACGTCTGCTCGCAGAGTTCTTTGAGATCCCTCCATACTCCACCATCCCCACCAGCTATGCCACCTCGTTCCGGACGCAGAATGAATCGAGGTGAAAGAGGTGTTACGGTCCCTCCATCCATTCGGATCCCGGTCGATGTTTTGCCAGCGCCACGACACCGGTCTCACCCCAGATCAGGGTCAAGGTCACGTCGGTCCAGTGAAAGGAGAATGGCGTCTGTTGAGGCGTTACAAAGGATTTAACACCGTTAAGTGGATTTTTTTTTCATTGGAAGATGTCTTGCATTTAACTTGAGCATATGCTTATGTGAAAGCCTACGGATGCAATTACAACACTGTTTTCAGTGGTAACTTTCAAGCAGGCTCCTGAAAGCATGCTTTTAAGCGCATTTTATTTGACATTAACGAAAACAGTGTTTTGCTGATACATTGGCCCTTTTTAAAGAAACCAGAGCTAAATGAGGCAGCTCCTGTGACCTGAGACCTTCGTTTGTGACCATTTTTCACCTTAATAATTGGTGAAGCCTGACATGAATTTGTTAAGCGGGGAAGTTTTATTATACTGAGTCAGCTTTTGTGACCATTTTGAAGAGGTTTTATTTGGCGTAGGGGAAAGTACTATACCACCGTAATAAAATTTTTTCTGAAATGTAATACCCAGCCGAAGCAATGCTATGCACTGTGATGAAGTCTAAGCATGGAAGAATTTCGAACCCATGCAATGCGCTTTCCGAACTGTAAGGAATCGTGATTGAAAGGCTTAAGCTAGTAGAATGAGGCAGTACAGGCGTCAAGTCGCCCCGTAAAGCTACATATTCGGACACCCTCGGAAAACTCATCAGAGCACTTGGTCGCTGAGTTGCATCACACTTACCGGAACTACGAAGACGAAGGGTGCAAAAAGGCGTGTTTTGAGCTTTAGATCTAAGAATGGACATTGAAAAAGCCCTAAAAACAAATATATGTACTAAAATTTTCAAAAAAATTAGTCGCTTAAATACATTTAGTTGCCCTATTCACATGAGGTCATAATGATTTAAGAGCAAGTAATATGATTTCATAAACCATGATGAATAAACCACTGATGTTCAAATAAGTGAGTCGACGTGAGAGAGTTCATTTTTTTGACGATTGAGGGCCTGCGACTCACACTTAATCTCAGCCATTTCCTTGGGTTAGTGAATGTAGGAAATCAAATATTTGTGTAACAAACTTGTGTTAGTTTTTTTTATTCCTAACATTTAAATTATATTTTACCATCAATTGTGCCTTAAGTAAGTAGTGGTAACGGGTATGTGAATAAGGCTCTTAAAACTGAGTAAAGGAACTTCATGAGGATTCACCAAGCCTCAGTGGTATGTAAATTCGGTGAACTTGGGGATGACTAGGGTAGTGAAGATGTAGCAACGAATCGTGGGGGAGTTCCTCATCTTGCAGGTATTTCTAGAGCATCTTCAATAACTATGAAGCCTCAGAAATACCTCAATCGTAGCATTGAAAAAATTGTTGTGTAAAATTTTTCCTTTGTGAGAATCGACAATACCTTGAAGGTCGGGTCAACAAGAACGCATGTCTTGTGACAGACTTAGGCAGCAGCCATCATCCTTGACTAGCTTGAATTGTTCCGGTGCTGGTTAAAAGAGCCTCCAAAGTGAGTTAAATCCAGTGGGTCCTCAGATGTGCAAAGACTCGGGCCTGGTTTATGTGGTAAAAATCACCGCTAATTTTGCGCCTTGAGAATGTGCCTTAGGTTCTGAGGTCCACAATCGGAGCAGTGTTTGCGTAGCCATCACGCAGTGGTATTGTGAAAAGCACAGCAACTTGCCGTTGTGCCACGTCATAGGAGCGTGTCTTTATCAAGTAAAAGACTGCAATAATTCACTAACTTATTTCTCTTAAAACGAAGCTAATTAAGCACTTCAAAAAGCTGGCAACAGCATTATTCTATAACATCAAAATGTAATTTAACGTAAACGTGTTTGAAGAACAATTCTCACAGGTTAGCAAAACCTCATAAGGTCATTGTGGGGCTACATTTATAGCTTGGGCACCTGTGCGCATCGTTGCTATTGACTACAGTGTGTGCAGCACTTCTGCATGATAGTAATCATTCGACAGAAACCATCCAGACGCACACCCTTGCCCGATTCCGATTGGATGATTTCTGTACTCTAATGCATCACGATATCAGTCTGGTGCCCTGCCAAATGTGCAATGTACTGAAATTATCGCAGCAGCTAGTTGATGTCGACTTGTAATGCTCCAGAAAGTCAAGCTATGCTAACAAAACCGATGCCTAGCTTACATGAAAATCTTGAGACTGATTGCAATCTCATTTCACTGCTTCAGAATTAAAGGAGTCTTGGGTTTATTCGTGTATAACCAACTGCCAGTTAAACTCGCAACCCAATGGCTGAAAATCCGACCAATATGCTGCAGTGTCCACTCTGGGTAAATGCTGCTAATATTAAGACTGCAGGCGTTCGCAGCCATCTTAGAGGAAGCCAGGAGAGCACTCGAATGCGACGAATTCTAGGCCTGCCTCTGTAACACCGAAGAAGCTAAATGAATCGCTACTATATGGGAGGGACAATTTAATTAGTCAGACTAAGAGTTTTCACAATATATAGGTCTACTAGTTAAAGTAGGCAAATTAGTTGGGGCTGAATTTGGAGCAGAGTACTGCTGCGTCACTGAATGCAAGTCGATTGAGTGGTAGATCGCTCGGACGTGTCGGCGTTTAAAGTACTAACAACAAGCGACATCACAGCGACACGGAGATAAACATCACGATGTAGCAGCACCAGCACAGTAAATGAAGACACCACATGTATGAGGATTGCAGTGTCTAGTTTGAAAAGCAAATCATCATTTCATGGACAAAATCACATAACCATGTTGCCAACTAACTCACCTCAGGGCTCGAACGTGTCAAAGTTCCGTTTTCATACTGGTGTGTTAGGTAATAATTTCGCCAGTGAAGATACAGCACCAGAAACACATTGCGATTGTGTCTACAGGCCCGAACCGAGCCAATGGCTTCAAGTATACATGGAAGACTTTGGAGGGGTCTTTGTATTGTTGGTAGGCAGAGCACAAGTGCTGCGAATTCTCTCCGCTATTGGTTTCTGTAAGTGCTCACAAGGTGGGAGTTGCAACAGACTGTTTGTTGTCAGTTAGCGTTTGATTGCCTTGACTACGTGGTGGACGCTTTCACCAATGGCACGGCATTACTGCGCACTGTACAAATCTTAGGCACAGTGTCGACAGCGAGGAAGAAACACGGTTTGCCTAAAATTAGAGGCCTTAGAGACACTGCGACGTCGTTCGCCAAGCAGCCTGAACTCACTAACTGGCGCTGACTGTGTGTTAGTCTGGCCCACTATTTGGTCCATGCCTTAGTCGTACCCGAAACTTCCGTGTACGATTTGTGTGTCCATCTGGGTGCCAGAATAATCGGGAACATCAAGTGGTTAGGGTGCTTAAAGTATGTGGACTGTCTTGGAGGTGATGGGAACTGTGTCTGCTCATTTACCAGTCCACTGTAACAGTGTTTCAAGGGCAGAAGCTATGGCTTCTATGTGCGTGGAACTGGCAATTACCGACTACCATGACGAAATTAACGTCAACCGCTACATTACTCAACTTGGCAACAGGCGATAGCAAACACGCGTGCGTTGAAGGCATGGTTATTATTGACAACAAGCAATCGTTGGCAGATTTGAGCACTTGATGAGGCAAGCCTACCCTACGAAACCTAAACTCCAACAAACGTTCATGCTACGAGCCAGCGCTGTGTTAGTAGGAATTGATAAGTTGAGTTATCGCAAAAAGATGAATTGTTGTATTGGTGATACTTGCGTTTGAACTCAGACACTTGACATTGGCATCTGCGGAAGCTGACTGTGCTAGAGTTTTGACTGTTCACCCCACTGCCTTGACGCGACCGAGATCCTGCTGCAATCGTGATTGTAATTAGCACCATTATCTCAATGGCCTCATTTCATTGTCAAAATAGCATGCCAAGTAGCTCAATAACAGCGCGCACACACACACACGCACGCACTCTGCAAGTGCCTCTGGATCGCGTTTAAAATCAAGTGGCGAACGTGGAGGTTGATCGATGGAGGGACGAAATTGTCGGCTCAGACAGCCATTCCTGGTTGCATGGAATCTCTTCGAAATCGGTTATCATATCGTTGTCAGCAATGCGTCCCTCATTTGTGCCTCCTGATTTGCACACCTTGCGATGTAGAATAAGGCGAAAGGACGCGAAGATCACGCCATCCATTAGGAAATGCGTGCAAGTTGTAAAGTCTCTGTGCAACAGTCATGTTACTCGTTACTAGCACAGTTTGGGCAGTTTCGCTTCTCAGGTCGCTGGGTTGTCTGCAGTTTATCAGGCAGCTTTTCGAGAGTACGAACGAGACATCAGTCCAGAGTATTCCACAGTGGCCTGAGTAGAACGTCCTGTTTTGTGAGCTATCCTGCTTTCTTCATGTGCTGTCGTCCCACCAAGTGATTTGTCAACGGACATGTGGTCTGACACGTCTTCGCAAATGAGGTGCATAAATTCGAATGAAGTACAAGGCATCCACGAAAATCGGTTTAATCAGGACATTTTGGACCACCAAATATCCCAATTGGGTGTGCTTTGACTCACTACTAACCAGTAGCCCAGAGATCGAACGATGGGATGAGCAGTAAACGCGACATACTTACCAAGAAGGAGTTTGTGGGGAAACGGCTTTTTCAAATGAATTTGATGTCGGAGTTATGAGGTGCCCTTAACGATGTGATGGACTCTTAGTGAAACGTGCAGTGCCAACCCATTTACCTGTGTTCGTCGCGGTGACAATGACATTCGCCGCCAGCAAACTCTAGACCCACCCCGAAGTAAGAGCATTTGGCACATGAGGTGCCTAAATTAGGTTTTCGCCGATATTACACGCCATGACCTGAAAAATAATTTGCACTTAGGCTGGACACAAACAGCATGAAGCGAAAGAAAATCAAATTTTCGGATTGCCACGAAGGCCATGTGTGGTCTGTGCAAATAGGGAGCCCGGGAAACAACCGCTGCCTTTCGCAGTCATGCGTGCGTGCATGCGTGCGTGAGTGCGTGCGTGAGTGCGTGCGTAAGTTATCATGGTGACACTGTGAGTTCACAATCGATGGTTAATGCAAGCCTAATTTGATATGGCGCAGAACGCGTCACTTTGAATGTGCCTCGGATGACACAGGCGCTAGTTAATCGCCAACACGAGATCTGTCGATGCCGAGAAGTCGTATTATCTTGAAAACAGTGCACCATTATTGCAGCACACTTTCCAAACCTGATTATTCTGATGTGAACGCAGTCTTTTTCCAAATAATTATTGCCAGATGGTAATGCAATATCTGAGGTGCAAAGGTGACTGCTAAATTTGCTTGTCTTGTGGTATTAAATACAACAATTGTTCGTTACCCCCTCACTGTGGAGGCTCTGGGCCAATAAAAATCATGCCAACGTGGTTTAAATCGTCACAAAGCCAAACTACCCAACTGGATAAAATTATGCTTTAATTGCAGTAAGCTGCCGTACGTCAGTTTGCTAAATGTGATGAGTAGTTAAGCTTAGACAGTCCTTTCAAAGACCGTAAATCTGTAATTTCTGCGAAATGCTAATTCGCAAAGGGACTCAAACTACCCGAATATAATGTACAGCTGATTTTTATGTTATTGTCACTGTTTTCTGCACCCTTTTTTCGGCGACTAGAACTAGGCTAACATTTAAATTGACCTTATTGACTGGGTGGTTAGTACTTATCTCAATCACAAAAAGTCAACCTAAGATGAGACTTGGATTAGAGTGAGCGGCCAAAGTCATTTGCCTGACTAAGCATGCTTATGACTGGAGTTCTTTGGTGCTGAACCTCTAAGTGTTAAACCCGATAATTGGAGGCATTCCGATCAAACAGAATTGACGGAAAGCCTGACAAATGGAATACATTAATCCCATCTTTTTTAGTGTAAGCTGTAAACCTTTTGTTGTCAAACACCGATGGCGAAATAACTGATCGTCCAACCAAAATCGCGCCACATATATTAAGGAAGTGTAAATGTGCACCTATCTCAGGAAACAGTGATCGAAATGATGATTTGGTCATTTCTTAAAACAGCCCAGAATAGATTAAAACCCTCAAAAGATTTTTAGGAATTTGTGAGAATGGCAGCGCGCATTTAGGTTTCTTGCGTTGAAGCGTTAATCTGGCAATTGGCCTTTCACCATGATTTCTCTGGCCCACTCCTATCAGTGATGCATTTTGCCGTTGACGTTGTCCCGTCTGCCTAATTAGTGTTGCACTCAGTTTATGCAAATTACGAAACTTGCCGTTAGACGATAAGTTTAGCTATTGTGGACTAATAGAAAGCACACCTATTCATCTCTCTCTCGCCCTCTCTTTCTCTCGTTCCGCTGGAATTCTCAATCCGCTTTGAACCCAGCTCGATTCATGACAAAATGTGGCTGATGTCTTCCGAAAACTGGGAGGCAGTGGACACAATCAGATTATAGTCTGTTAACAAATTTTACCTGGAAAATATTGTCAAACATGCGAAGTTGGCAGGTGTGGTTCTATCAAATACACCAGTTGAACATCCATTCGGTTAAAGTTTAAAGTGTTCCGATGAGGTTTTTCCTAATTCTACAAACCTCGCACATGTCGAAATGGTGGGACCACCTTCGTTTGCAAGCAAGATAAGCTCGCTGTCTCCCACAAACGAGGTTTCAACGCCCACACTTGCCTTTTGAAACGCATCAGAGGATAACTTCGATGTTTTGATAACACTGAGCATGTGCAGTTTTGGGTGTGTGAGTATTCACGAGAATTATTGATTTCATACTTTGAGAAGTGCTCTTGTGGAGCATTAGTTTAACCACAAACAAAGTTGCAAGGAGATTTTAAATCAGAAATCAACTATTTACTAAAATATCAACTGTTAATGGTTCAAGAGTTTGGCTTTCCTTTCTCACAACCAACTGTGTGCAGATATTTTCTGGAAGTAGAACGACTTCTGGAACGGAACTAATGTCTGAAACAACTGTAGTGAATCTTGTTGATTCACATGCATCAACTATGTCGCCACATATTCCGTCACTTTGGCGCCCCTTTCACAGCAATCCCAGCTACCCTGTGGACACGTCTGAGCTCACACCTCTGTGTACATTCCAACCCTACCACCCATTTGGTCATTCAGCCATTTTTACTTTCACTGGTCCACTCAACCAGGATTGGCCAGCAGCATTACTAGTTTTGCACAACTTTCAAGCACAGTAGCGCGACACACGTACCACGACTCGGTAGAGCCATGTAATAGACAGCTGTGTCCGCCACCTCCGGGTATCTGTGCAGCGTAATCCGATTCGCCGACATGGCGACCCTCTGTGTGTTTCATGAATACATGTCGTGGCCTTCAGCACAATTAGCAAACTACTACAAATACCCCTTTAACTCAGTTTAAAATACAATGTCATCAGTAAAACCTTCTAAAATGGGAATGCCACGCAAAAAGTGATTAAATGTTCATGCAAATTGGATACAACGGGAACTGAAGTCTGTCAGTTTAGTTGTAGATCACGTTGTGTTTTCAGTGTGACTGGCATGATGTCGTGCATGATGCGTTTTTAACACCAGACTTTTGCAACTGAGGCCATTCTTCACGGCCCACAAATTATCAAATTTTAAGAGAAGCAAGCGATGGAATCGGCAAAACCAGTGTCTTATTTTCGCTGTGCTAAACTGTACCATAATACTAGCGTATGCCTTCCATATACCTTTGCCATATAATTAAGATTGCACCTCGACAATTCATACTTTAAGAGGAGATCAGAATTTTACTGTCATCAAAGTGCTTCTCCATATTTAAAAAAAACGAGAAGCGTAGCATTTTAAAAATGACTTGTGCCATGTCTGACATTGACAGATATCAAGTTCATTGTAAAACAAAACTTGGTCACGAATTAGCTTCTGGCAAATGTAACCTATCCCCATTCTAAATTCAATGACACCTATTAGTTCACATAAAGAACACTGTTTGCTAATGCGTTACGCCTCATTGAATGGTTGGGCGGTATGTCATAAATAAAAAGTGCAACCGGCGTTCAACACATTATGCTGAAATTTACAATATTAGTAGCTAGCGAAGTTCAAACTTGAATGATAATCCATAAGCAAATTTGCATTATAAGTTCAGCTAAACGGCATCTGCATATATACCATTTAACGGAAAACAAATACGAGCCTGGAATTTGTGGAAAAGGTGAGCTTTGTATAACAACAACAAATTGAAGCAGTTAAAACATGGCGAAGATGAAATGGAAAACTGTTTCCCATGTCTGGTGTATACCAGATATTGGCTAGTGAAGGAATCCACTTCTTTTTTACCTGGCTCATTGTTTACTGCACCTGAGGCATGCATGATCGTCTAACGTGCACCTTCAAACGTTTCTGCTGACAAGCGTCTTGAGTTTTTGAGCAGACACATTAGCAAGAAGGTACTTAGTTGAATTATTTAAACAAGCCTCAACTTGAATAATTGAATGGATTATGAGATTATTATTAAAATTTAACTCTGCGGCATACAGCATTTAAAGGTTAACACACCCAATGGTTTTTTGTGATAAGTTCCTCCAATCACATGGTACAAAGTCAGTAGCCAATTAGAGTCGTAATTCTACAATGATCTCAAACCCAAAGTTGTGCTCATTTGAGGAATTGTCAAGATGACTTTTGAAGCTAGCATTCAGCCGCATTGTTCTTGTTGCTCATCATGGTTTAATGCAATTGACCAACAACGTAGACATTTTTGTCTGGGTCTCTTAATCGGGTGTTTTTCAAGTGGGATCATAATTGCAGAATTTCGACAACCCAGCCCCCTTTACACTGGATACTGGGTTGGCGGGAGTGACTGTCTAGCCACTACTTCTGCCATAGTCTGCGCCCTGAAACCGCATCGTTTTGCTTTTATAGGAGCTGCTCTGACCGATGCCATATGCTCAGTCATTACATGCGCTGGCGGAATTCAAGTACTTGCCACACAAAAGACCAACATATTTACGACAGGTTGGCTGTCAACAGTGCAGCTGATTTTTCTCCTCTATCACTGCTGCTCGTGCGTTATTGACGCGGACGCTTTGTGCCGATTCAGACCCTTCGGCAGGGGGCAAACTGTCTCATCCAATCCTTCATCTCAAGGATTGCCAATTCAGTCTACAAATCGGAGAGCACAACAGCGTCCACCAAGTGATTTCCGACTACCGGATGAGGCTCCAAAACTTCCGGGCTATTTTGATCTCACCAGGGATGAGGGACTTCCACCGGATTATAGCAAAGTTAACACCGCTCCTCCCGGCTACGAGACACAGGAGCAGGCCACTAGCGAAGCTGCTGGATGATATTTTTCACTAAAGTAGCATTTATGATTTCCAACACAATCTTTTAACGCCTGGACTCGCTACTTTTGTAAATTTTTGTATCATATTGTAAAACCTCAATTTCATACTTGGTCAAACGCTATGAGTGGGAAAATCAAGAAAAAAAACTTCTACCTATCAGCAATGGTCTCTTAGAGTTTGAGCTATGTTAAAACAAACTGAAATCATGTCCATGACAGACTCAGTCAAATGATCTATTTGAGAGATTTTAGTAGTTTCAGCGGTGAGCAGATACATTTGCTGCCGTAGGTCCAACAGCAGATCTGACAGAAAAATGAGTTGTGATTTGTTAATGCTAATTCTCAGGGTCTGTCTCGCTGTAACAGCAATTAACTCTGTAACTAGTTAGTTTTTTTTGAAAACGGCGCCACCAACTTGGCATAATGCTTTGGATGAAGTACATGCAAGTAATTTCCCTGTCTAATTCCGATTATTCTGAGCGCTTATTTGATTTGTTCAACTTCCATGATGTCAGCAAACTGGATAGAACAAACAATGGCATACCAATTCTATTTTTTATATGAATTGTTGTCTGTAAAAGTACAATAAACTATATGGGAAACTACTCCTAAGTCTTTTTTAAACTAGCAATAACTATAAAATTGCAGCTTTTCATCGTTATTTTTTTTGTAAATCCTAAATGGCTTAGGACATTGGTATCTGATTATGTAACATAGTATTTCGTTCTTAACAAGCGCGGAATAAAATTTTCGGATTTTCTTTACAGTGACCTTTGAAGTGTACGAAAGTGTACCTACCGTTTCTGTAGTTTTGGATAAAATTATCCAAAATTCATAGTTTGAAACTACTTGCGAGTAACAGAAGTCTGAAAACTCAATCAAAACAGACCATTCATTAAAAAGAGCAGTCATAACTGCTACCGGATGCAGCGCAACCTTCGCTGTTTTAAACCAACAATATTCAGCCGTCCACTTTTTAACCTTCGTCGCCGAATTGAAGCTGGTCATGACAAGGAATTAATCAAAACTGATTGCAGTTTTTTTAAATGTGATTGGGCCTTTTGGTTATCACATTCGTTTGAAGGCATCCCGCAAAGGAGTTAGCCAAAATGGCTCAATGTATTGGCTCAATAAAACCGACGATGTGGTGCAAATTTAATTGCCCTAATGTCTGATTGATGGTGGGTTCTGCAAAATAAGAAAATAGGCAGTAAAGTAGTCTAGAAAATTTTGCTTACTGAACAAATTACGCAGACGTCAGCTTAACTTCCTTGATTGGTGGGTGGCAATTGACCTGAAGTAATCACATTAGAGTGAATAATTTTTTTGTAAAATACAAGTGATATCACAATTCGAATTATCAAACTACAAAGAAATACGCTAGTTGGTCACTTGATCTAACTGGAATCTGATAGCGCTTTCTGCAATATACAGTGGAAGATGTTGCTAACTAAGCGTATATTTATATTGCTTATTCATGCCTGCTGACAACGGACTAGAATTTGGGCAGTTGACAATTCAGAACCACAAATCTCCATGGCTTGAGCATTGTTTAATTTTGTCATCTAAACCAGCAAAGACGAAAAGATTTTGGTCTGCAAAGCTCTAGGAAAAGACACTAAATTTTGTCGAATGCGAAATCTTTGCAATGGCTACTGCAAAACTGACTCAAGTGTTTGATGAATTGGTGATTTCTTTATTGCGGTACCGACAAATATCACCAATTGTAGCTTAAGATTCTTGTCTGTGATACCATACACCGTAAAGTTAACCTTTGATCATGGGGCTTACTCGTGTTAGTTTGCACAGAATACACATGTGACTGAAACTCTAATAAACTGTCAATGTGCAAAATACAGAGATTCGTATTTCCCTAATTTTTCAACCGGCATTTTTTGTTCAAATGGAAGGTCACTCGATTATGTTTGGGATCAAAGTTACTTTGATAATAATTTCAAAAGTCTGACGTCATTAGTCTTGAAGGTTGTCAGGTGATTGGTTTTAAATTGCTCGGTACATGAGCACTGTAAATTTGCGCTCAGGGTTACGTCACCTGAATTTCCAAAAGAAACAGAACTTCCTCTTGCTGGGTCTAGGGCTTCATTGTGTCCTTTGTGCCACGAATATCAATTTCACTTCCTCTCAGTGGTCCATTGATTAAAATGCAATGCATTTTGTGTCCCTTTCCCCTGCCGAAGTAGTCTGAGTCTGTGTGGATTCGTCTGCGTGAGATTTTATTAAACCCGGCCAAAACGCCGCTTAAAGACAATCTATTAAGTTGGTTGACCTGAAACGTAGATGATATGATGCGGAAATAAACAGGTCAGGAAAGCGACTTAACAAATACCTCCTTTTAATGAATTTTTTCGGGAAAAATCAACTGTGAGAGTGATTAAAACATTCGGGAACACCCAAAACTCTACCACCTTTATCATTTTACCAAAGCGCTGAAAATTTATTTGAAATGCTCCTATTTTCTTTGTTACAATTGATGCTTAACATTATCATGTGGCCTAAAAGAGCCAGCGAATATTTTAAACAAATTCAAACCATCTGTCACCCAAAGTATTTTGTAGTGTTAGCCAAGAGAGAAAACGCACTATTGGAACTGGTGCCAGTTAAATAAAGTGGATTTACAAAAGAGGCATTAGTAAGCATCAGTTTACCCTTATTATATCAGCTACCAGGTTCAAACTCAACATCACCTCAGCAAACTTCTTGCATGCAGATTTGGTTACTGAAATATGAAGTAATAAGCTTCCTTATTGGGGCTGAAAAGATTATTTGTAAAAGTTTTTTTCGTATAAAAAACTGTTCATATTGCATCAAAGAAGAAACAAGACGTCTTGATATTTGACGCCACAAAAATCCCAAAATATATCAAAATTATTTAGCTTCAAGCCTTTTAACAGAATTGAATTTCAAAGGAATTTGTTTGAAATTCATGCTTTACATTGGTGACTTGGGAAGTTCAGAGGTGATGACTTTAAATATGTAAAATCCCATTACTGTAAAACACTTAAAACCGCAAATAAGTTTGTGGTTAGAGCTTAGATAATTTTTTTTAGTCATTTTAATGCACTTGGGATTGCGGGCTCTGCTGAGTCCGAACAGGAATTTGTATTTCTGCTAAAATAAGTTCAGGCTCTTCGGATGCTTGGTTTTCAAAATTTAGAATATTTTTTTGTGAAAGGCTCTGCATTTTAATAGCACTCATTCAGTAAACATCACGACAACAACTGCGGACGTTGTCATAATAATCTCGAGTTAAGAAATTCGGGAGTGCTGGATCGCATCGCGTCAACACCTTTATTCATTAATTTCATTTTACTTTCAGGTTTTCTGTTATAATTTGGCAATAGCAGAAATTTATTGTCCTTTAATCATTATTTGGTAAATATAGTACACATATTTCGATTGGGAATCAGCATAATCCACAACCGCAAATTTCTTTTAAGAATTGCAATAGACCATCCAATTTACCCTCCACAATGCTTACTAATTGGACATTTAGAATGTATCGAAGAGAAACATTGAAAGCATGCATTTCAAAGGAGGAGAGTAATGGCTATTATAAGGTGTATACAAATATTTAGAGACTGTTGGATGTATGATCAAAAGCTCTTCACGGCTGAAATCAGTCTGCCATCGTTGACGGTGCGTCTCCTTCCAGATAACCTTCAAGGGAGTGAACCGAGTGAGTCCCATCACGGAGCGCTTTGAGGTGAATGCAAAGGTTTCACAAGACTACGAACAAGTAACATTAACTTAAACAAGCTAATACTTTACTTCAGGTATAGTTATTTAAATGAATCAACTACGAATCAAGTGAATTTTCGTATTTGTACGCTGAATGATTTAGGGAAGTCAATGATTTTACGTATGCGTATTTTAGCTGCCTGTGTTCAAGCGAACAATGTTAATTTTGATACATATTGAAGCCAAAACACCAGACGCAGCACTAAAATTAAGGGTCGTAAATTTTGTTTTTTTTCTAACAAGTTTATTTGTTACCCTAAGGTACTTACACGAATACTATTCCTTCAAAAATATAAAAATAGTACACTTCTGAGTCACACAAACTACTCCATGATGCCTAACTTGTCGTTTGTAGCTTTCGGTTGTAATCTACCTTTCCTACGCAGCTTTCATTGCAGTCTATGCCAACCAAATTCAAGGTTAATTTATCAGAGGTGAGTGGGAAGTGCGTTGGATGGATTGCTCATGGTGGAAGGCGGTGAAATGTCACACCAAGGTCACCGGAGTTGTCAACATTCGAAACGGCTTTACCATTTTAAGCAGGTGTTTTTGCGCGCATGATGCCCCTCAACTGTGCCTGCCATGGCGGTAGACCAGGTAGCACCCACGCGAGTGGGTTTTCCAAAAAAGAGCCAAATCCGAGCTGCCGAAAAAAGGGGCCTTTGTCAATCCTTAGGTGTTCATTTAAGGCTTTTTTTCTAGTCTTCTGACGTAACGCATGATGTAGGTATTCACAAAAAAACTTAATCCATAGATCAGGGTATTTCTTTAAGAACCTCAAAGCCAAGTTGTCTTCCATAATTTGCCAGCCTACCGCACATATCCAATTACACTTTTGCCGTCATTCTCAGCACCCAAGACGAGCGTGTCGAACCACCACTGCGTTCTACAATTTGCTTCACTTTTCTAATCGGCCCCGTTGTTTTACAATTCGGGCCCGCTCGTTGAACGCCACTTCAGTATACTTCGCTTTAAAGCCAATTTCTTGTTTATACGTATTAGTAAATTGTATTTACGATTAGGATACCAAAAACGTGCTTTTAAGACCTTAACAACCGCCATAGCGATGTGCCCGCCTTATCGTAAACTAGCATCGTTTCAGCTGCGAAGAAAGGCAGCACCCAGGACCGAGGCCCATATTAATTCAGAAGCCAGTTTCATTGTTTACGCATAGTCACACACAGAGGCCGTTAATTCAGTCGGATTCCTCATTGTCAATACTGAACAGTCTGAGCCCACGCCTTAATGCACAACCCCCGACCCTCGAGTGAACACGATCACGGCGAAATTGACCTAAGAAGCCGTCGTGTCTCAGTCTCTCCTCGGGCACCAACCCCATTCGTGATTTTTCATTGGCTCAGCGCAGCCGATCCTGTTCTAGTGAGAGACATGTCACAGAGCAATTGATCCTAAAACCAGATGCCAGTTAACTTTGAATGTGACCTTGTAGTGGCTAACGGGAAAATCAGGGCGGTGGGTTAACAAAGAGACACCCATTGGCAGGTGGAGCATGTTAGCGGGCCCCCAAATCCGGGATTGAGGTTAAACGGTGTTTCCTTTCTCCTCAAAATAACCCCTAACTCATTGAGTGGTTTAATCTCGTAAGCACACGGTTGCCTCCTTCAAGGTAAATAACGTGATCGTGATGAAAGTGGCGTGATATCTTGAGAAGCGTTTCAATTTGCAAAATAGACAGGAAACGCAGGTTCACATCAGACAAGGTTATAATGTGTATACATGTGACGGAAAGACATAACAAACAAGGAATGAACAATAACACAGAAGCGCATTGAAAATTATCACAGAAACCAGGACAAATGAATAATGGGATGAGCAAAAGGTGAGTAGTCGATCAGATTCGACGAGAACTCGGTGTGTCGTTGGAGCTAGTATTGGCAAAGAGTATGGTCTTCGACGTGACGCCCTCCATGGAGAGAGCAGCCGCGGAAAAGGGATCGCAGGAAGGCGCGAAACCAGACGAGCCCGGGAAGCGGTCCCCACCGTGATGCGAGGGACGAGAGGGGACGGGACTGGCGGTGGGTGGAGACGGTTTGTTGGATGGCACGAGATCGGGAACACACCAGACCCACTCATCGCGAGTACTAAGTGACCAGGGACAGGAACGTGCACGCATGAACTCCGGCAACTGATTCCGTAGCTCGTGGTTTACGTGAGTCACGGCAACCTAAAATATCGCAACAAAAGTGTACCCTTGGGGAAAAACGCAGGGTCATAAAAGCACCAAACTGTTAATGGCACCGGTGAAAAGTCGCAACAGCATAAAAGAAATACTCTAATCTCAATTGTACGTTTATCGTCTCGAAAACACTTACGAATGCATTAAACCACTTTGGCGAGACGCTGACGACAAAAAGAAAACGATAAAATCCACGAAGACGTTACAGGCAGAACCACCAAGCGGTGATTAGGTTTCAGGCTACATTTAATCAGATAAACTTTATCGGCCACCAAATTAGTGCCGTTGCCAATCGAGTTGGACGAATATAACGGATCGTCAAGCCTTTCAGAATGCTACAAGTTCACAACTGGCTAACAATAAACAATATTTTGGGGATATGGCAAACACAGTAGAGGTGATGCAAATGAGCACTGGTGCAAAAGTGCAAAAATGTTCTTTTTGTCCTATCACGACATTCGATTGCCCTAGCTATCTGCGGAAAAAACGAACTTTCAAGTTCCCAGAACTACCACACGGACTACAAAATGCAAAGGGACAAATTTCATAAGTTTTTTTGATGAAGGAGTTACGAACAAATGAATAAAAATTAGAACTACGAAGACACACCTGCTCGTTGTGGAAAATCGCTTGACAACCAGAGCAAGTGAACTGTTTCTGTGGTGGTGTCGTTGCATTGGCTCCTGGAGCCACTTTCCAGCGAAGGTGTAACTCGACGGACAAAAACAGAGCGGCTTCGACACGCTCTGCATCCTAAAAAACAAAAAAACGCGGTTACTTATAAAGCCAAGGTAGACGTTTTACGAACTGCTGCCGAACCTTGTAGTGGACTCCAGAGCGAATGTGCATCCCGTCAGCAAAATAACCACCAATCTGATGTTTTACTTGGGTTGTAAGCCTTCCGTATTGGGAAAGGTCATCTTCGATTTCTTTCTATAAATTTTGAAATGAGATACAAAGAAATCAACTTGCGAAAATACGAACCAAAAGTAAATACCAGCTGCAGTAGTGAGACCCTAATTACCAGGCAACTTTTCTGTTAGGGATAAAATTATACTCCAGATCAAGAATTAATACTTAATTTGTATGAGAATAAACTGGTGCCAAGGTGCTTCGCAACATACGAGTACTAAGAGTTGAAGATATTTAGAAAAAAAATCAAGTCCACCTTATAACTTTTGTAGATAGAAATAAACATGCCATACGACTGCAGGCGGACTTCGGTAGACCTATATGCAACAAGAACAGGGTGTTGGTATTACGTCACAGACACCGCTCACTAAACAGGTGACATGCAGCCATGAATTTAAGCATTTGCACATCCAAAATGGGAGCGCCACAACACATGACGTGGAAGTCAGCCAGGGCTTTGAGGGCCTACTCTAAGCAAGTGGCGAGTGACCACGTGGAAAACAACTTCAGTGCGGCCATTGTACTGGTACAGGGAGGGCGTGGCTGTGGCTGTGGTGCACAGGAGGCAGGAGAACTTCTTGTCCACGCGACTGATGAGCTGCGACCAGTCGTGCGATGGGGGTCGCGGCTGCTGACGGGGCGGTGAGGGGGCCGGTGCAGCGGTGCGGGGGGGTGACGGCGACGACGGGGATGGGGACGGGGAGGAGGGCGAAAGCACAGGCCCCTCTGCCTCCTGGAGGCCCGCTTCCTTCACTGGCGGAGTGGCGTCGTCAACCTCGGTGAACGCACTGGCTGGTGGTGTCGCATGGTGGGCAATCGTGTCACGTGTGAGCGTAATCCAGTTGACCAAAACTTTGACCTAGGTGAGATCACGTGGCAATGAGGACTCGAAACGCTATTAAAGCTCCAATAATCAGCTTTTGTTAGAGAGTGATGCAATAAAGGAAAATTAAACCACTAGACGCTAATTACTACATTTTGAAAATTTCAGCATAATTAAGTACCGCAGCGATCATGGGTTGATTGACCCAATATAACAAGTAGGCAAGAGCACCCACATGCGGAGAAACGTTAACAGGACTATTAAAAGTGGGAGTTTTGCAGTACGGTTGCACCAGTTTGAAGCAGGGCTATACGCCTAATTGAGCACAATTTTGTAATGCAAAAAAAGGATAAAGGAAAGTCAAAAAGGGTTCTGGCGCTGTGAAAAAACTATTGCTACAGGTATTTGCTATGTATTGGCTGCGATTTAAGGTCCGAGGGCATACAATAACTTACGATTGCCTACACAAAGGATAATTTTCGAATGCAAACAGGAAGCGAATATTTGTAATACAAGGGATTTGAACAGACACGGAGATCCGGTGTTTTACAACAATGGTGAGATCACAAAATTACGAAAACGATATGGGGAATGTCGGTCAAACCTTCAGTCGACTTGTTTGTTCATTTATTAGTGCAAACTTAGGGCGACCCCATAAGAGATACATTAGAGGGTCAGCCATTAAATCCCGAGCAAGCAAGCAGCATTAAAGGGGCGTCGATGATTGTGGTCGCGCGAGAAAACCCGCAGCGGGAAAAATAGAGGTCTTACATCGGAACTGTGCAACCCATGTACACGACTGTAGTGCGCACGAAGGCAGTTGAGGTCGGTGGTTGTGGCCGTACATTTCGAGCATGAATAAAAACGGCTCTGGAATATTTGATCGCTGTCCAGGTGGTTACTCCAGGCATGCCGGCGAAGGGAAACGGGGTTGCGGGCATGGAACGGGCATTGAGGACACAGCAAAGGCAGCAGAGAGTCGAGCCAACACCCCCCGGTGTTATTCGGCGGTGTACCCTGGTCTAAGGCCGCGGCCTAGAAGACGAAATACTGGTGTGACAGCTTGCCGAAGAGGACTCCAAGTTTGCATTAGGTGGTCTCATCGAGTAATACTGCCGGTAAAAGACTTTACACACGCTACCTACCACTGCTTAATAGTGAATTGGGAAAATGGCGGAAATATAAATCCACACGAAGAGTCGATCACTCGAATCTGCTGACTGTACTACCAGCCTGAGACGAACACATGCGGGAAAGCATTGACGATGGGGGATTACGATCACGAGTGGGGACTCGGATTTAAGAATTTGGATGGACCTGCAAAAATGGTCACGTAGAGAATCCATGAATTAATTTGCAAACGGGTCACGGGTCCAAGATCGAGGTGGCATCACAGCGCATTAAGCGTAGAGAGAGATCTACTGCTAAAAGCGAGGCGATAGTATGGGCTAAAATTTGTTATAAATTGCAAGCGCTGAACTTACACTGCTACGACTGATTTTAAGGAATGACTTAGCAACTACACGAACAAGAATCTCAAGTTACTTGTGAATAGCTGGTCTTCCCAAAATTGTCACGCACAGACTTTGAAAGGTATTGACCTCAAAAATTTTTTAAAGTTATATTACAATGCAGAAACAACGTGGAAAACGAACTAAGAGCAACGAAATCAGTCGCCCACTTTCCCTTCTTTATGGCACATGCACAACAGTTAAAAAACAAACAAAATGCAAAATTGTATGTATTTCTGCACAAAATTCAGCGGTTTTCCATAAAGCACATAAATTCTGTCAGCTTCGCCATGAGCTCCGAGTTAAGTAAGTTATTGTCGACCGAGTGTGCAGGCTTGTCAGTGACGGAGGGCTCCGTTAAATAAAGCCCATCAGAGGAGAGGGTCCAGCCTTGCATTAGAGAGATGGCATCCCCTTCAGGGAGCCTCAGTAACTCGCACACATCTGCGACAGATATGCAGGAGTAAGCTGATCTTATTAGATCTAGTGTGGAGCGTTGTATCCGCTGATACACCTCTGAAAGATGCACACGAGCGAAAGAGGGCAGATCAGCCGCGCCCATGACTCCTTGGCAGACAGTGAGGAATTGTGGGTGCTGATGCTTAAGGAGGAGAACGGCAAGGTCCCAAACACTCTTAAGATATGGCTGTGAGGCTTTGATGTCGGGTGAGATTCGTTTCCACAGGAAGCGAGCACCCATGATATCATCGCTTCGAAGGTAAAGACACAGGAGTTCTAAATATTGAGAAGAATTTAGAACTCTTGAACGGAGTTCAGCATTTTCCAATTCTTCTATTTGTATATTTAATGCCAACTGAGTATCACTGCCACAGTCCATTTGATTACCTAAGAAGGGTAGAGACTTGAATTAACGAAATCGCTAAGACATTTTATGTGACGAGAAAAACAACGGCGTTAGTAAGATGTACTGGAAATAATCATCACGACATCAATAATCCCAACTAATCGCCACACAAACTACTTTCAATGAACATGTGTGCATTGACAAATCGATGTGCGAAAGTCTTTTAAGGTAACATTTAGTGATGAGGGATTGTATCTGATCCGGTAAGGATTTTGAGGTGGGGGGAAAAGCATTGTAGACATCGTTTTCGGCTCAATACGACGTTAGAACGAAAATTAACCTAGTTTTAACGTCAACTGACGTAATTGTTTCTAAGCGGTCCTTGGACCTAACTATTCTTACACATAGTTAAACGGGAAAAGAGCCGTGGTAAAGTTAACTAGATAGGAGGGTCTGCTGACGGAGCAATTTTGTAATTATTATGAGTGGACAACCTACAACCGCCTTCACACAAAAATGTCGAACATCTCCTTAATGCGACAGTAATCTCCTAAAGGCGACTTCCTCATGATGTCCGATAAGCAAATAACCTAGTTTTCTGCGTCCTTCAAACAAACTTTGGTGAAAAGTAAACCAAAAATTACAACAGGAAAATTCGCAAATATAAATTTTAAATGGCCTAATCCATAATCGCAAATTTGATCAACATTAGCCACAATGGGATATAATCCAAAAAAACCTTTTTGACATTCCACTTATGGGTTCAACCGCCAATCCTGCAACTTTTAACACGATGTCTCGCAGTGATATTTTAATTAAAGGGGAGACCCTGGTACCACAACCGAGTAATCAGCAAGAACAACCATAAGTGCGATAGAACCCCAGAAGAACAAAATGATGAGGAAAGAGATTTTCTATTACAGAAATTGTATATTATACAAATAAGAAATGCGTCATAAGACGTTAAACGAGTGGACAAGGAATCAGGAACGTAACATAAAACGCTAGAGGTAAAAAATAGCTTTTTGAAAAGAACAGGATTGGTAAAACGCAGACGAAAATCCATATATTTCCCACATATACCCACTAGAATATGGTGACTTACAGAAATAGGTGCGTTTTAAGAAGTCGGCACACTTGACAGCAAATTAAAACTAATGCAAGTATCAGTTTTAGAGTTCACTTTCTCCTGAAGTTGCCATTCAAACACTATTAAAACACAGAACAATGTGAATGAAAGATTAATGCCATGACTTCGAATATGTATAATGCCGAAGACCCACTACCGACCAGTAAAAAATATGTTTTTAATTTCTGAAATAATCATATGTTAGCTGACGAAAGATAATTATAGCAAGACGACACAAAATTCATAAATGCAAAACCTTTGATCGTGTGGGGAAAGTGCATCACACTTCGCAGTTCAACGAAAATTTTTGTATAAACCTTAGTCTCATGCAATATCAGCAAGTGGCGAACAGATTCTGATAGTAGATAAAGTTGCAGGGCCACTTTGGTAACACGTATGATGATTTTTTTATTAAAAATGTTAAAGACGATGGAAGCATTCACGAATCAATTTTTGTGCGCATGTTCACGACTAAATATATACTCAAGATGCTTATCACTATTTAGTGAGTGTATCGATTTGAAAATAGGAAATTTTGATCCAACGTGTCAACTTCTTTTTGTGTCTTTCGTGTCTTTTCGATGCACAACTCAATCAGACTTTAGTGAAATTAATAAATCAGATTATATTTTACATGTTCCCATGCAATCACATCTACTAATTTGGCTTCGTTGGTACAGAATTGCATACAAATTAATTTAAAGTAAATTTACAGTCATAAATCCGTAATATGTAAGGAACTTGAATTGTTTACTCCTTTCGTTTATATAAATTAAGGTTATGAAAAATTCACAACTATGCTTTTTGATAACAGGAAGTGTCAGTAATTGCCTAGGTAGCATTTCATGTGGCCATCAAGTGAAGATCTAAAAGAGATTGGGGAAGTCAAAGAGTCTGTTTTAGGCCCCAGCATGTGGTCTTGAACCATGCCGTGGATACGGAATTAACCCTGGCCCGATTAAGTTTCTCTGAAATCCACTATGAAGAAAAAGACTAGAAAGGGCGTGGACACAACCGTTTACTTCAGAGCTTAACTATGTTGGTGTCGTTGTGTTGTATGTGGGGTTTGAGCCTGTATATTGAGACCTCAGATGCGTTAGTTGTATATGAGACAACATTGAGAACTACGTGTAAGAATAATGTAGGATAAGTATTTGTACAAATGAGGGGCGAGTTAAGGATGCGTGCTGCTGGCGAGATGCAGTAAAAATAAGAACCCTTTGTTGAAGGATGGAGCAACCGGATTAAGGAGTGTGTATGAACAAGATTCACAATAAGTCTTACTGGGATTTCTGAAGCATCATTGTTAACTATCAGATGTTTAAAACGGGAATAGAACTTTTAACAAACAGGACCTCTTCCATGCTGCTAATAATTGCGTAAGATTGCCAAAAATTTGGGTAAACTTAGTTTGCATATGAATAATCGATGCCCAAGTTAGTCGAAGCCCATTTGAATTTATCATTGTTAACAGAGCATCAAAGATCCCAGAATAGTAAAATCTGTCACTATGTAGTGTCAAAATGCATGAAAAATCTTATACATGAACATCCGAACATCATTGCCCCTGAATACACATTTTTCTTGCCAGATTTTTTCGTGAGCCTTAAGTCCTTCTCCTAATTCATGTTTTTAAGGTTGTGACATGTTTACCTTTAGCCATGTGTATTTCATGATTCAATAATTGCTATTATGTATATAATGTATATTTATAGGCGAAATAATTTTGGAGTTCTGATGAGCCACTGTGTTTTAATGGGGTAATTTCATTCATTCGAGGTGAACTGCGCCGTCCCGCGTGCTGTTTTATCCCTAATTAGCTTGTACGTTTTTGTGATAATGTAAGGGATGTCTCTGAACTACTTCGTATTAACAAGAATGTAATCTTTATTAACCTGTTCTTCTTCAAGTTATTTTTATTCTTTGATAATCTTTTTTAGGTTTTCTTCGTCATGCCACTTGGTGATATTGATGAGAATCGAACTGTGGATGGTGTGCGCCATCTTGGCTTTCTTGGATCTGGAAAGATGTCCCAAGCCATCGTTAAAGGCCTTCTTACTAGTGGTGAGGCTCAAATTCTTTCACTTTGCTAATCGTTGGAATTTCGCACACAATCGGGAATCTAAAGTGTGGTCGTGTTGATATTATTTTTCTCCTGAGTACCCAAAATAATCAGCTAATGCAGCGTAACATTGCCTATCCGTAGTTGGCATGCCTGTTAGTTTTGGTCTAATGAATAATTAAATACAGCGCATATCCTTCTGCTCTTGTGAATCGCATTTTCTATGTACAGATGCTTTACAAAAGCCTTTTATGCAGAAAATAAGGAACTTTTTATCGACTCACAGTTGCGAATATTGTTTTTTCCTCTGTACGAGTCTCGATGTCTGCATCTCGCACGTTTCCGCCTACTTCTTATGCGTCTACAAAAACTGTCAGCTCCCCCCTTCAACCGCCACCAAGTGTTTCCTTATTGTGATTCTGTCAACACTTATAGGTCTAATTAAAGGAACTCAAGTTACAATGACTGATAAAGTGATCCCAGGTCAAGTGGTAAGTATTCATCTTTTGTGCTCTATGCAATTGTCAGTTCCATAGTCAACAGACAAAATTTCTTTTAAATTTTAGTTCTATGACTCAATCGAAGAAATCAAACAGGTGAGATAAAAGCTGTGTGGCCCCTTGCAGACACGAAGTTATAAATAATTCTACTTCTTATGGGGTTGCTACCAATCATTCCAATCACATTGATTGATCTTTATACCTTTGGGTATTTCAACTAGAGGGGGCAAATATTCCAGTGCATTTTTATTTTGAACTTTTAAAGATAAAGTTCTAGTAATGGCTGTAATTTTGGTTCTCACAAGTAACCCAGGATTGTACTAATTGGATTCTGGAAGCCATTCTAGACACTGAGTTTTATTCTTCTCGAAATTAGACTTTTGGAGTTGAATATCTGACTGAGAACCCTCCCATGGCTGCAAAAAGTGACGTTATTTTCGTTTGTGTGAAACCTAACCTCGTTCAGAGTGTGTTACGTGAATGTTTTCACGACATCGGCAATAAGCTAGTCATCTCAATCGCTGCTGGTGTTACAATTGAAGATTTGGAAGAAGTGAGTTCTTTGCTTCCATAGTGAAGCTTGCTGGACTTTCTTAATCTGCATTCATGACTATGCCATACTTCCTTTATTTCCTGTTCCTCTGGACCATTCATTCCTCGTCCTATTAGATGTAGGTAGTCTCAAAATTCCTCTATAATCTTATTGGCACTAACCAATTCATACTACTACTTGTTTATCTGTAGACTTCCTACTCGAATTCGTCTGGAGTTTGTCCTGTCGTTGGGCATAGTTGAAATGGTTTTCTTGATCCACATATAGTTCAGTTTTCTTTCCTAACATTAGAGCTACGATCTTCCAATCCCAGTGAATTTAAACTAAACGCTCTTTTGTGGTACCCTGTATTTGACTATTCATTTCTCTTTGCTTGAAGTGTTTGGCAATAACAGCCAAGTTTAGTGGTAGCTAATATACTGGGTGCGTAACTTTTTAATAGGTCCTTCCTCAAGGTACTCGCGTCATCCGTGTAATGCCCAATATGCCGTGCCTGGTGCAAGAAGGAGCTGGCATTTTGACTCGCGGCCACTGTGCAACTGATGCGGACGTTCAGGTCACAAAAAGTCTCCTCTCCGTTATTATCCCCGTCCTGGAGGAAATTCCTCAATACCAATTCAACGCCGCCACTGCCCTATCCGGCTGTGGACCAGCCTATGTATGTTACCCTGCTAAGACGTCTATCAAATATAGTTGATCTAATTTGTGTCAAGTTTAACTACCCTAACCTTCCTTTATATTCAGCAACCTCTATATGCAACAGTGAGCATTCCATTGATCAAATAATTCCAGCTACTGTTATTTTATAAGACGTTTCGAATGTACCTGAAGGTGTGGCTTTCAGTCTACTGATGTCTCCTGCAAAGCTTATCTTTATGTAGATCATGCTAGAGTAGCTCTAAAATGTATATTGCTGTTTAAATTTTCTATAATAGTTTGTTTCAGTTTTTTTAGTGAATGGAAATCAAGCCACCATTACTAACGTACATACTTCATCTAGAGAGATAATTGACAACACTTCTTTTAACCGAGCCAAAGCACAGAATTCTTTGTTGTTGGGACGCCAGTCTTACTTGTAGATTTGCATGGTAATTGAAAGCCTTGCTGATGGTGCTGTTCGACTTGGCTTGACTCGCGACATGGCTCATCGGTTAGCTGTGCAGACGGTCCTTGGGACGGCCAAGCTTGTTCGTGATTCTGGCGTCCACCCTGCTAAACTTAGGGTTCGTTCTTGCAATTTCATTTGATGTTTACGTTGCCTCGAAAGGAATTTATGCTTGAATAAGACATTAGGCGTTGGTCAAGATTACTTCCCTTAGCCTATCGTATTGTGGCAAAACGATTAGGTACATGTCAATCGCTCTTGCTAGGTAATTTAGTTTATCTTACCGCAATTCACTCTAAGTCCTGTGTCTGTTTAGTGATTTTGTTTTCCTCCAGTGCCAGTATTTGGGTACCGTCATGAATTATTTTCCACTTCAAGTATTTATCTTTCAGGACGAAGTGTGTTCTCCAGGCGGGAGCACAATCGCTGGCACCTTTGCCCTCGAGAAGAACGGCATCCGTGCGGCGTTCAGTGCTTGTGTCGAGGCCGCCAAAGTCCGCAACGATGAGCTGGCTCCTTCGAAACAGTAGGGAATCGGCCTCGTCACTCATTTTGTCAATCCCTCTCCGCTCAACAATTTTTATTCTCACCCTCGGTATTTCTAGTGGCGTTGTAATAAATCTTTGTGTCTATAAGAACCTTCTCCAAGACACATCAGTAGCTGAAATGGAAATGGTCTCGGGTTTCGTTTGGTTCTCGTGTATTTTTGCGAATGTTATCCAAAGTACACTTCTTGGCCTCGTCTGTTAGCATTTAAGTCCTCGTAATTTTCTTCCTTTGGATAAGGAAGTACGATGTAGCCACGAGGCCTTCAGTCTGTATGCTCCACTTTAGGATTGCCATATTCGCATAATGAAAGGTGGCAAAAATGTTGTAGAATACTTCTTTTGTATTGAAACCACCCGCCCGGTTGATTTACCCGTTACTGATGCAGCCCACTGTGGGTTGCTCAACTGCACAGGCCTTTTTTACAAATCCATGATTGCGGAAAGTACTTCCATAAGTGGGGCAATGAGTTCGGTCTAACCGCACCCTCTTCGTTGGTAAGACGGACTTCAGGACTTGAGGCCCGCACTAAACTAATATTTGCCAGCCAGAGTCTTCTCACGCCTCGAGTTTGCAAGTCCCGATCTCTGTCCATCTTAGTTTAATGTCCTTGCCTTCTACTGAAATCGATTAGTGCTCGTCATTTATATCATTCAATGCGAGTATTGCATGCATTGACGGTGAAAACCATGCATGTACAAACACAACCTACCTGTAGTATCCCAATTGCCATCTTCGGTGTCAATCTTAGAGTGGACACTCGGGCCAAATAAAAGTTTCTAGTTAGCAGTTGGTACAGCGGTACTGGAGGGTACTGCAGTGCGAACTGGAAAGCGTACGGTTGTTAAATATTGAAGGTTGAAAATCAGGATGGAGCTTTGATCCAGGTCTCCACTAGAGTCTTTTTACAAAAGTATTTATTACCATTGGTGTCGGGGGCGTTTTCAGAACTTCTGTATTGTTTATTGTACCAATCCACGCATAACGTTTTAAAAGGAACACATAGGGTACTATTCCTGGAAGTAAAAGTCGTCCAAACTCGTCCCAGTCGAGGCACTGGCTAAGACCAAGAAAATTCTCATTTTCTCTAGAGGATGGACTAATAATTTAGGTTTTTTTGCAAATACCTTCATATTTCAGCCTTGATGCGTACTTTACATTTCAACTTCATTCAACTTGCTGTGACCATCCTAGTAAATTGTGTCAGTTGAATTCTACGGAGGCCCATGCGAGGTAATGCTAACGAACAATCTGTCGTAATTACAAAGCGTGGTTGGAGCGACCTTGATGAACCCGTGCGATGCACATGCGATGCCCTCAGTTTGCTTGTTTATCACATCCTGACTGAGGTCTCGTTTATAAAGGCGTTTTGTGTGCAAACGATCAGTCACGCCTAGAAGACGCATCACGGTGCCATGGAAGACATCAAGCTGAAACAAGCTATCGTCGGGGATCGGCATTTTGGATTCCTGGGGGCTGGGAAGATGTCCCAAGCCATTATCAAGGGCCTTCTTACCTCAGGTTGGCTTATTGAATTCACTTTGGTTCCCGTTGCCAACTGATTTTCATAACTCTACAAATTTGTTTTATTGAATGAAGCTTTTCAAATCCTTTATTTTTTTTCCGTTTTAAATCCATTTGTCTTATACATAAATGCAATTCATTAGGTGTACTGTGTGGTAGTCTATGTTTATCAGAATATTTACACTTAATGGATCAGTAAAAACATGACAATTTGGCATAAAGATTATACAATCCCTCCGGTATGTGGATTACATGACATTAACCGAAAAACTCATCTGATGCGGTACATTGTTTTTACAAAAGGATCCGGCGAGAGTTTTTGACAGTTGATTGAAATAAATCGATTATATGGTCACTTGCATTCTTGATATCGCCTCATTAAAATGAGCCACTCATCTACAAGGTGTCTTATGAATTCTAATTTCCTTTTCAGGTGGTAGTCCTATTGGTAACATGAACGAAAACTAGAAGTGATCAATGATTCAGCTTGTTTGGCCTCAATTTATGCAGTAAAATGTGTTTAAGGTCCTAAATTGCGGTAACTTTATACAGCCCATTGTAACTTTTCATATTCCTTTAAACCCATAGGGACTTTCGCATTGTCAAGCATTGTTCCATTGTTTTACCCTTTTACGTTGATAATTTACAGGCCTCCTCAAAGGTTCCCAAGTCACAATGACTGATATAGTGACTCCTGCTCAACCTCAGGTAATTTTTAATTAATTTTTTTGGGGACGTTCATGCTTGCCACTTTGAATTAATTCCCGCTTGTGTATTGTTTTTGGTTTAGTTCTACAAACACATCGAAAATTTGCACAAGGTGAGGCAAATATTTTTTCGCAAGGGGCTTTACAGTACTTGTACGGGTTTGTATGCTCTATGAAATCAGACATGAAAAGGAGCATATGGCTGAGGTCAACACGCTTGCCATTCTTTATCACGGAACCACGGTTAATGAAAAATGCATTTCTTGTTCCCCTTCGCAGGAATTCGGTGTTGAATACCTCCTGGAGAACCCACCAATGGCCAAGAAGAGCGACGTCATATTTGTCTGTGTAAAGCCAAACCTCGTAGATACTGTGCTACGTGAATGCAAGGATGTAATTAAAGACAAACTCGTCATTTCAATCGCCGCAGGAGTCACCATAGGGGATCTTGAGGCCGTAAGCTGTTTTCATTTTACCGAAACCCTTTTATTTCACATTAGAGAGCAGCTTCTCATTGAGTTTTGTTCTTATGGCATCCCTATCCTTTCTTTCCTGTGAACCCTTGTCTGGTACAGATTCACCTCTCTACAAAAACGCATAACTGCTGAGCCTGAGGGCTCTTGGACTTTTCACTTGCCAGATTAGCAGACTCACAGTATGAGAAATTCAATTACTTTAAACTTTTTCGTTCGTGAATTCGTATCGCCCTGTCTCCAAGGTGCCCAGTTGGAAATCAGGACAAAGGCATTCGAATTTTCGCCTATAACATCCTGCATCGTGCGAACTTGGTAGTACGATGTAGTCTCCACTTCGGTAAATCAGTTACATCAATGGGCCTTGCCTTTTTTGTCATCGCTCATTCATTAGTTCTGTTCTACTCAACCTCATTGCCCTGCCATTACGCTAAACCACGTGACTGTATACGCAGGCCCTTCCATCAGGAACTCACGTGATTCGGGTGATGCCCAACACTCCCTGCTTGGTGCAACAAGGCGCCGGTATCTTCTCCCGCGGAACTAACGCCACGGAAGCTGATGTAACCCTGCTGAGGGCTGTTACCTCTGTTATCTTCCCAGTCATGGAAGAGATCTCTGAAGCACAATTCAATGCTGCCACTGCGCTTTCTGGAAGTGGCCCAGCCTATGCAAGTTGTGGTTCTTTGTACTTTACTCATACGTGTGAAGGTGTAATGTTTAGTGTTTTTTTTGAACGTAAAATGGCGCATCAAGGGAAGCGGACTACAGTTCGAAAAAAAATCTGGTCACCCTTGAAAACTGAGTATATGAAATCGAATTAGTCCGTGAGACACTCAAAGAGATTATGTTGGACTGTGGAATCTCTGGTAACCATGTTGTTTACCCTGGCTTTAAGTTATACTTTTCCTTCCCCACTGACAGTTAACCACTGCCTCCTGATTCATTTTCACTTTGCCAACACATTACGCTGCATAAGGTAATGGATGGGCATTGGCGAAAAGTTAAACTTGTCGCCTTCTATGTCCAAACAGCTTGAAAGTCAGCTTTGTTGCATTCCTTGCCTCTAGTGAGTACGAAGGGCAGTGACTACGAATATAACCCTATCGACTCTTTCGTTGACAAATCATATTTTTGATTACTTTTCCATTCTAACGCAATTAGACGCAGTTACTGCACTTCTGAGTTGTCTCAGTTTGTCTCCAATTCAGTAAAACCTGCCGTTTACTAGCAGGTAAAAACAAACCTCTGCCCTTCGGCATTGAGATTTTGCCTTTGCAAGGCCCGCAAGTAATGGGTTACTCACAGGGCAAAAGTTTAGAGATCTATGATTGTTTCTGCAGATCCTCATGGTCATCGAAGGGATGGCTGATGGCGGTGTTCGTCTTGGCTTGACGCGCGACATGGCCCAACGACTGGCCATCCAGACCGTCCTCGGAACGGCCGTTCTCGCCCGCCAATGCGCTGTTCATCCAGCTCAGCTCCGGGTCTGTATTTGTACCATTCCAATTTAAAGAAATTGAAACGATCTTGCAAACAGCCTACCGTTTGCTTGCAAAATTTAGCTTTATCTTATACCGAGCCAAAGTCACTTACCGCGCGCCACCGTTTTTTGCTAATTACACTTGAATTAAAATTCCCTATCTGTTTAGCTTTCGTGCAGATGCCTTCTTAATGGACGCACTGTTGGTAACATGTATCACATCTCCTTTTTGTAGTATACTTCAATGTAGTTGTGTTTTTGTTTGCCGGTGTACCACAATTGCAATCGAACGTCATGGATTAAAGTCATAAAGTATTCTCAATCCCTTTCATACCAAAATTTCCTTCACTGACACAAAGATTAATACATTAACTGAAATGCCGATTCTCTGTGAAGCCGCCCATTTGAAACTGTCGTTGCTCCTACTTCCACTTTTGATACTTTACTCCTGTAGAAGTCGATGTGCTGAGTGCACACGTTGATAGTGACAACAGATGAAATTCAAGACAGCTTTTAAGGATTCCACTTCGGTGGGAATCTTACTCAAGTAGTTTGGTTCTGAAGATCGGCGTGCCATGCATATTAACAAATCAACAAGAGTGGTGCTTGAAGTACCACGTTGAACTGGTGTTGTCACTGGGTTATGAGATTTTCCAATTGGAACTCACTTCTTCACGAAATCATTTATCTCTCGAGTGATATTGTGTGACGTAAAGCTTCGACCATAAGTATTCCACACTAAGGATTTCCTTGCAACTAATCCCCTTAACTGTATTGTAGGAGGAGGTCTGCTCACCAGGTGGAAGTACGATTGCGGGTACACACGTCCTTGAGAAAGCCGCGGTTCGTGCTGCCTTCAGTGATTGCATTGAAGCTGCCAAAATCCGCAACGACCAACTCGCTCCACCAAAGAAGTAGTTGTGTCCAATGCAGTGCTCACAGAGCAGCTATAGTCAAATGTCTTTTAGGAATATAATGTCAAAATTGTCTTATCATTACTTCTCTGTATTATCTACCATTTTGCGAGTGAAGGGCGGTTAAGCTTGGTATTTTATTCTGCCAATAATCCTATTATACGTGCCATAATATGATCGGCGTGTAAACGAAGTTAATGTGCATCTAACCGGCACTGGAACATGAGCCGCTGAACAAAAGTCCATGCATGAGCCGTCAAACATCAGGTCAGTTCACCCATGACAAGCTGATGATCCGGTTTAGCAGGGCGCAGATGTAAGGCCCCAAGCCCAAACAAACACCTTTGTTCAGGGCTACGTCGTCTTCTCCGCCCTCGCACAGAGACTAAACACGGATGACTCAGCGCCTCCCCACTAAGACGTGACCTCAAGGCCCAGTTAGCGTTCAGATGCGTGGACGACCTTTAATGAATATCAGAGTTCCGGTACGCTCAAAGGTGAATGGGCCAGCATATCTTAGCACGAACAATAATTAAAATCAGAAATAGTCAATATCTTGAGTGATATAGTCTTGGGGATTCTAAATCCCCAGAACGAACACATTCAGAAGCCTCTGCAGAATTGTCGATGTGAGGAGACCGGTCGCCGTCATGTTAGTAAATCATTAATTTCATTGGAGTAACCTCAAAAGGGGCAAAACTGTGATCCTCTATGAAACTGAATAATGTGTAGTAAATTTGTATCTAACGAACGTGATTTAAGCTTATTCACGAGTTGATCAAATGTCATCGACTGTCGACTACAGTTGAGGCTGGGTATTCACTCAAGCGCTCCGCTATACAAGACTTAAGCGGTCAAATGTAAAAAAGCGTTTTATTTGCTTTCATCAGTCTTGCTTTTCTTCTCGGACTGTTACGGACTGCCAACTAGCAGAGTTGTAAGGCAGTGCTAACGAAGCCGCTACAGATGCACACACTAGCCTACGGGCTCTCTTCAGAGTGCTTACGCAATGAGCCCTGGGCAGGTAGCGTCATCTCATGCTTTTCACGTTGCGCGAAGAATTGGCACCTGAAATTGTCATAAAATATGAAGTAGTTATTATTTAAATCATCTGGGAAAGATGCAGCAGAATGGATACCAGGTCGCATATTTTAGTTTGTGAGTAATGTTCATCGTCAACGTCCTCCTAGTGCGCGTCTCCAGAATGACTAGCCCACCGCTTTCAACATTTATAGAGCAAGAAAAATGTCATTACACCGACTTATATGCCGACTTGTTCAGGAGGGTTAGGGAGTTGTTAACAGGAGGATCAATCCCATGATTTTATTTTTAACTCACCTCGTTTGTGAGGTTTAAAATGTCTGATTAGGTAACAGACATACTTCAAATGCAGTTTGCACAGATCCGCCCACCTGTTTAAACCTCGCAAAACTACAGTTCGGGAGGGAGTCCCAATTTGATCATTCTTGATGTTTGAAAAACCGAGTTATGATATTTTTCCCATCAATTCTAATTGCATGATACAATAACTGTCTTTATTAAGCTAAAACAGAAGCCAGACAGGACTATTAAGGCCCCGTTTTAAAACACACCCATGTTGCAGAGATCTGGCACCGCCCATGCCCCACGCTGCGGCATTTGTTTTCACAAAACAGAGCGCCACCATCGCTTTTCTCACCTAAACACGCCCTTCCATCCAGCCCGAAACGACCAACGCCCAACCTACGTAAAAGCCCCTGTGCATAAGTACAACGATGTCTAAAGACTAGACTACCGAGTCTGCAATACAGGGAGCTCCATTTTCAACGATGAAGTTGGAACCGATTTTTCAAATTGTATCTAGAATTTCCACGGTGATTCCGATTTCGTATTAGGTGCTTCAAAATCACTTCGGTATAGTGGCACAGAATTTTAAATTGCTTTAGACTTCTGAGTTAAACCCACTATACTTAAACAGTATTGCACCTGGCAAATGAATTATACTTTGATGTAATATTCTTTTGGTTCTCAAGAGGAAGCCTGGGATTAACATGGTCGGACTCCATAAGTACTTAAATCACCAAAAATACCAACCAATCAGTCAATTAACTCCGTTTTTTCGCCTGATTATTACTGATTCTACAGCAAAAAGGTATCTATTTTAAAATGAGAAAGCCCCACACTGATATAACAAGAGTGCATTGCGTGAAGAAACACTTCAGGAAACTAGGAACCCTACCTTGTTAATGACTAGAGCTGGTTTTCCACTCATGCCCGTTTTTACTCACAATCAAGTTTAAATTAATTCAGAAGGCGGCTGGTAATTGCAGTACTTCCACCCCTCCACTAAAGTTTGTTTTAAAGAATGCAAGAAGTTTGGCACCGACACACACATGGTTTCCTTGCTTTAACGCCGAAACTGAATTGAAAGCTTAGTGTAGTCTTGACAGTTTGGGGGTCATGAAAATTAAAAGGGCTACAGGACGCACCGACGACCTACTTGAAGGCCAAACAAAGAAACCAATGTTGAAACCAAGGTTCTGACCTACTTTGGCAGTCATGTGGTACTATTGGTGAAATGTCATGTACATTAACGCATAGAACAGAGATACAGCTATGAACCGGATTACTGAAAAGCTAGTATGTCAAAAATCTAAATGTGTTCCAAGCAGGTAAATGGTGGTCGGAAGTTAGTTCTCAAGCTTTTATTTGTCTAGACAGTCAATATTAACCACTGGCAAATGTAAATAATTTAACTTCCAACCTATTATCGACCCCTGATTGTTTACAGTAGGTCAGTTAGAGGTGTAGCGACTAGACGGCTTACGAATGCACTTTTTGTTACATTACGGTACCACTAGAACGATTGACTCGGGTTGATTTTCTAAATGTATTACAAAATATTCCTATCCCCCGCATGCATACAAATCATATTTTGGTTTTATCTTTGCAGGCAGTATGGTGGCTAACCGTTTGTAACTCATTTCAGTGCCAGAAAGTTTTCATTATAGAAGCATTTCGCCAAATGTTGTATTATGATAATTAATTCATTTTTTTCTATGAAAAGGATGTTGAAATCATCCGGATTTTTACCCTACTCGCAGTAGTTTGCAGTGTTTTTGGAGGTTGGTGGTTGCTGCCCCCGTAGCTAAATGTTCATTTCCTGAAATTAGAAGGATGTCACTAATTTTAAGATGCAATTACTCTTAACAATTAAAACTAGAGTTAAAATTACCTTCCGCATGGATATCTGGTAGTTTTCAGTCAATCGTTTGTGCGTTTTTGACGTCGGCAATGTCTCCTCGAGATAAACTTAAATTTAGGTCACCGGGGGCTAAACCCTGAGTTGAGGGATATATTCTGAAACGGAAAATCGGCAGTGCTACTTATGCTTTGAAAGTACATTCGTTTGTTTCATATCTTCTGAGCTAAACAGCGATAAGACTGTGACTTTTCTTGTTTCAAAAGCACGATATATTTTGAATCAGGCATTATCGCCATCATAAAATAAACCAGTGTTGAAACGAGCAAGACTGAAAGATTGCATCTACAGCACCCTTGTTAATTTGAGTTGATCATATGGCGTACGTGAGGGGGGAGCCATCCAGCCTTGTGCCGAGGTTTTAATTCTTTTAACATGCTGTTTAGATGGAGACCCGACCTGACTTGCAAAGTTTAACTCAGTAAGCTTGCGCGAAACACCAGAAATCCTCATTCGAAAGAAAAGATCCCATCTTTCCACTTGCATGCCAGTGATAATAACATCAGTGAACTATCGACCACAATGGTAAATGATGTTTAAAGTGCGCATGAAGCATTGTATGCATAATTTTGAGTTCAGGCGCCTTTAGCCCATGTAGGCGACCAACATTCTTGGACGATAATTTACCTTGGAAAAATTGAACTCCCTGCAGAGGAAATTTCTTTCATCCATAGTTGGTTGAGGTTGTTCGTTTGTGAAGTTGTGATGTTCACCTAGACTTACCAAAGGTAGTGTCGATCTGCGCTAATGGTCATGTCGCAGATCGCGAACAAAACTAGGCCACGGGATGTGACCCAAAGCCCCCACGACTGCCGCCATCCTTGGACCAAATACGACATTAAGGACACGTCGCCAGGCAGCACCCGGCCACTGAAACAGTTTCCTGAAGGTAATGACTAAGAGGAAGCGTTGATGCCCCGGGAGTAGGCGAGGTGCCCACTTTTTTCCTCCACCATAATTCCCGCGTTTTGGACCGCGTGGAAACGCGTCCACCTTTTTGAAATGCAAACGCGGAAAAGGAAGTCGGTAAAGTCCTCTACGCATAACGACAAAGCAATATACTTTGTACTGTGCATTTTCACTATAACGTGATAGTTTATGTCCAGCTGAGAAGAAGAACATCCATCCAACTGAAAATTCCGTTAAACTATTGGACAACTTGAAAAACATACGAAACCTGAAAATCTTTCACTTGATGTACCTCACACAAACTTACTGCATTCATATGGAAATTAGTTTCCAGTGACAGGATTAAGTTCGTTTTTAGATAGTACGTTGATTAAAATTCGGAAATTAAATATCAGATAGTTTAGTCCAATTCTTTATTTCTGAACTTCAAAGGACGAACGCCCCATGGATCTATTTACACTACATTCTAACCACGACTAGGCAGTGAATCACCTTGCTCTTAATATTGTATTCCTAGTGTAAATAACTACGTCAAAAATTGAAAGAGCCGAAGTTAATGTTGCTAGCTATTTAGTGCCAGCGCACACTGCAACTGTCAGTTGAGTCTCACTGTGATATGCACAACGCACTTGGAATTAGATTTTCGTAAACAATACAGTCTAAAGGGGAACAGAATGCGATGGTTTTGGCGCAGCCGCATCACCAGGTGGGTCTGGCTAGACGATCTCCAAACACAGACGTCATCTCAATCGGTTCTATACTGCATTAACACGTTCCAGAATCCAATTAACAGAGGTGTTGGCTGTACCTTGACTTGCGACGTTAGCCTGATTTACATTTTAACTTTCAAACTAGAGTGTGTAGGAGTCACCCAAGCATTCGGTGAACCACAAGCCGGCTAGCTGATTGCTACAGATGAGATTGCATCAAAATGCCATGGTGATTGTTAAAAGTGAATTTGCAGTTATTTAGCTGCATTTACTGGGCGCCTAGTCTATTCTGCGTGGTTCGAAAGACGCTTGGGGTCCTTTGATTTTACTAGGATTCAATGTTTGGAACCAATTTGGCTCAGTGTGATATAAACCTACTGATCTTCAGCATGCACAGATAATCTTTTATTGATCCATCAACTGTGAAAGTCAACACCACAATTACGCTACTAAAAAGATCCATTACCATCTACGTCCCGATGTTTCGATAATTTTTTGCACAAGGACAAGTCTACAAGCTTTGACAAATATGGGGACCTCATAGTCAATTGAAAGTTTTCTATTAAAGGACGTATTAGCTAGAAATACCTGGACTGGCGATCAGTAATTTGAAACGCGTGAGCCTGCGCAGGCAATCACTACATGTACGTGATTTGGAATAGAAATGGCATAAGTTAATTCATTTCTTGAGTGCAATGCATAGTCAATAAGATACGACAAGTGCAGCACTGATAGGCGAATTAATAAAAGGACGCGTTCATTTACCTTCCAACTGCATTCCAACTGCTTCGACAACAAAAGGGTCTACTCAGTGCTCATAGGAGTCTGAGAGTCACCGTGTGCCTTTACCTCTTGCGCTGTGTTTAGAACTTTAATTTGGAACAATTTTATTTGTATTAAACTTTATATTTGCATGGGCCATATGAAGGCTTAAGACATCAAAAGACTGAACAGCTTTTGGCTAACTTTTCTAATGAAATTGTTATCGGAGTCTTGGACGTGTCCTTTTCATTTCGTCTGCATTGCGGCAGAATGATGCAATATTTAGTGTTGGCTATAACCCTAAGTGGTAAATTGTGTACAAAACCATACTATTAACATGGGTATTTTGCAAGGTCATTCAAAATAAAACAAAATGCTTGGTAGCCTAGGTGTCATTCTGGCTCCTTAACCTTTAGGCGAACGCCATGCTTGAACTGACCACGTGATTAACATCAGTCAACGCGGCTGAAGCGCAAACTTCTGTTGAACCAATAATGACCTTGACTCGCCGTTTCCTCGGGAGTCTGTGGCTCCGCCGTACTCTAAAGGGTAGTGCGATGCCTTAGCTTCTCTTGTTTTTGGTGGGTATCGATGTCAAAAATCCAGGTCGGTTTCGGGAGCTTGTGGTCAAGCCGCGTCACCCTACTGTTGTTTCGGAGGTTTACTAACCTCAATTTCGGACATTAGCAGTGAAGCTGGACCCATTTACGGACATGCCTTTAAATTGGACACACTTCGCGGGGAGCAGGTGAGCGGTGCCCTGCCAGGACCGTATCGACCCTCGAAACGTAACACTTTGGTTATTTCAGTAGCACGGCAACGCACACTATTCCGCTACCGCACGTGGTTTGATCCTTCAAAATTTACGTGTAATTTTGCTTACCATTGATGATATGTTAGATAAGACAGTTAATTTACCTGCTAGACGGCGTCACTGCAGGGTATGTCGGGGTGTGAGCACTTTGAAAGGGCAGAGGCGTAAACAAACATTGCGGTTAGCGCAGTGTACGAACGGTGCACTGAATCTTTTATAATCAATGTAGGACAAACGTTCTTGACAAATTTCAGTCCAAGATCAGAAATTACGATAGTACCAATTTTGTTCTTCCGATCGCGCAACGACAAAATAACAATTGTTACTGGTGAATGTTCATATCTCACTGTCTGAATGACTATGATTTACGATGGGGTGGTGAATTCAACGGTAACTAAAATCCACAAAATTGATCAGTTATGGTGCGTTCTGAACGAACTGACATTGAATACTATTGATGATTATACCTTGTTATCACCCAGCACTACGTTCATTTGGCTTAAAAGAACATGAGTTGACTTAACTGAAATATTTGTTATTTTAAGTAGTTGCCCTACAGATTTCGCTTTCTCCCTCAATCATTTATCACAGATAGCAGCTTGAGAGAAAAACAAATCTGAAGAAACCCAAAGCGGTAGGTTGTTCGGATTAAACTGCATTGATGGTGAACGGTTCGCAGGTCCATTCAAAACAACTAGTCACGTAAAATTACTTTTATCACTACTGCTACTCTTACAGTAGGCAGTTTACCGATCAACACATTCCTGGAAGTAGCAACAAGTCGGAAATTCAAGGGGCTGCCGAATCGTAGAATTGCATTTGATTCGAACATCCATCAACCATTCTCAAGAACAACTGGTGATTGGGTTTTCAGTAGCAGGATGACTTTGGGTGTATCTTACAAGCGAACAAGCCCGTTATCAGCCGACAGAAAGGTTGGATGACACCTTACCCTTCCACACGTTCATTACTCATGAGAGAACAACCTTCAGGAATTTGTTAAGCCCCCTTAGCCGTGTACACCGCCCCCCCCCCCAAAACACATAGACTTCCTCGAATGCAGCGCTAAGCGCACTTATACCAGACGATACGCGTTGTCTGCCATTTAACACTACAATAAGATTTAATAATGAAGACGAGGTACTGTTTATTCATATACACACAGTCCCAAAACAACGTACTAATAATGTGAAAGAAACATAATACCAGTTCTTGCCCGGAAACAATTAGTCACATAATGGAATACACAGGAGCCATGATAGCAATAATACATTAGGTGAGGCCAGATAACTAGGGAGAGGAAGATGTACAAACAGGGTTAGAATGAGATGGGAACTTAAAATCAGGTATCTGTTTGAAAGACTGTTAGGGAAAAGCACATTCAAGAAAGTGTCTAGCACCCTCGGGTAATTGTGCACGGTTGCGATCCGGTCAGGTGAGGTAGCCGGAGTTACGTGAGGTAACGTGAGGGGACCTGTACAGTCAGCGGGTCAGCGGGAAGAGGCGTTTGTTGATCGGGAAGTTGTGGTAGAGGTTGAGGAGGAGAGGGGAATAGTAGCTACGCCGTCGTCACCATCGAAAATCGATGGGAAATCAACAATTAGACGGTTTACCACTGCCTGTTCGAATTTAGCCCCAGCTAGACAACTGAGGGGATCCGTGTAGGAGGAGCTCATTAAGCTCGGCGCAAAAACAATGGCGAGGTTTTCGGATGTCATCATGTTTGACTGCTGATTGGCCGCAACTCTAAAATAGGAAAAGCGTAGCAATCAGAAGCACAGATTTCTAATACAAAAAGCAAAATAACCAAATGTACGCCTTCCGCAGCGCTACTGAATGCAGATTGAAAGGAGGCAGGAAAGTCGACTTCCGGATGCGATGACGCATGAAACGGTAACTATGGTAGAGTGGGATGCTGAAGCTGTCACTAAAGAAAGCATTTTTGAGGATGCAGATAAAAGCGTGTTTGCCACCACTACAATAACAAGTTTTGACGTAGGGTTACAGTAGTGTGCAAAAGTGGGCACAAAAAGTATGTTGAGACTTCATCGAGTCGCAATGCCACTTTGATGAAGCGCTATCGAGGTCCTTACGAGCAGCGTCATCTTCAAGGCGCCTTTGTCAATGGCATCAATAGGATTCATAAGATCTTAAGCCAAACGTGATAACGAACAAGTTCACAGATATTGCAAAAAAGGTTGCGGTCTTTTAAATTATCCTAACACGCTAATTTGCGAAGTGAAAAGCTGGCGTCACTTAAAGGGAGTTAGAAAGTCGCTGAAGACAATATAAACCACTTCGAAACAATGATCGCTGTCTTACATTTAGAGGGACATATAGCAGTCACTTAGGATCACAAGGCAAATAAGATCGGCCAGACTTTTGCCAGTAATTTCTACAAGATAATATTTACTTATGGAGAATAACAAAATTGATCACAACGTCTCGAAAATATTGTAAAGGAAGGCATTTTAAGTTACCTATTCAAGTGAGCCATGAGGTATCGCAGACAGTGGTAGTGGGCAGGCGGTAACCGCTGAACGCAGCCTTTGAGAAGGTCATGTTTCTGCTCGTCTGATAACTGCTCATCGCCTACAAAGGTAAAGATATATAAAGGCTAGCAAAGATAGGGCGAAATTATGGCCAGAGCATGAACAACTTGGTAGAAAACAGGGGCTTATTACAAAAAGGAGCTCATGAATACGGCATATTACCGAGTTATCATTTTGAGGAGCAAGAGGACCGTGATGTAGATGGACAGTACGCAAAAACGCATGGGCCACTGCGTGCATCATGCTACCCAAATGGAGCCGTTTTGTCAGATTCCAAAATCTTAAATAAGATTTTGTCATGTTTCTCAGATCATGTGTCTGTTGAAGAGGCCCTTGATCAACAACCTTCCTCTTGCAGAATTTGATGGCTGTTTTAATCATAGATAATTCCATTTGGACCCTGAAAGAGTTCCAGTCTGGGAAAATTGAGGTGCAATATCGACTTTACACTGGAACAATATCAACATTAAGTACGTTGACGAACGCACACCTTCTTGACAGTGCATGATATGACGTGAAGTGCCTGGTTTAATTTGCCTAGCCGTCATGGCATAACGAAAATCACTAAGGCAGTGGTTACGGAGGAGCTCTGTTCGAATGAAGCATGAAGCCCTCGTTTTCAAATAAAAAAATTAAGTCGGTTTACGCGAGGCTGGTGACATTTCAAGACGAAGTGTTTTGATATCGAGCCTATTTATCTGACGCATTTTTATTAGCCTGCCCTAGGGATATTACAAAGTGATTGAGCAAAACACTGAGACACAACTAGTACTGATTTAGCTTATCTAACAAATTATTAGCCAGTTTTTGGACCAACAGAAGTTACCCAGTGGGGCACGTGCACCCACACGCACACACCTGACAATTCACGGGGCTAATTAGGTGCAATTAGGTGACGGGGATCGGCGTGCGCACTTAGCAGGACGGAAGGTTCGTCTCGAGGACAGCCGGGAATGCCGCTGTGACCCTTTAGTAATTTACGGCGACGCCAGTTGGGTTCAAGAGGAGGGCGTTCACCGGTAACCAAGGCCATTTGGTTATGCGTGACGTACGTACAAATTCGATTAATGCTTCCAATCCCAAACCTCCAGTGAGATGGCAAAAAGCAGAATCAACTCAATTAACGTGAATAATCGAAGGCAGTCCCAAGGAGAAGCCCGAAAGATGCCAAGGTTAAGTGGAGTGATGGGGGCAGTATGCTATGCACCGGCAAGAGACACGCCAGAGTTGGCAAGCACATTCACTGTCGGACTCTCTTGACTGTGGAAAAAAACATCTCCTCATTTTCCAAATTCGCTTTACTGTTCTGCGAATTAGTCTTTCCTGAAACCTGCCAGTTTGGCACTTTCTGGTAGAATTCTTTCACTTACTTTACTCCGATGAGATAGTTATAGAAAAGATCCAAAATGGCACAAACACAAGATGCACAAATTTCAACACTGTCCTACTTCTAGTGAATGTGAAATTTGGCTAATAAAAGCACAGACATCGTGACGGGGCTGCAGCAAATGGTTATTTTACAGCTCATAAATACTAAGAGATTGCCATGGAATGTATTTGGCGGTATTCAAACTTTAGGCGATTGTCCGTTCAAAATAACAAGTGCTTCTTGACGTGGAGTTCGGTGCATAGGAAACGACAAAAAAACGTGAAAATCCACAGGACGTGGTGGCTTCGGTCGACGGCACGTTACGTTGGAGGGGGAGGGAGGAGGAGGAGAGTAAAAAGAGGCACCCTGCAGCCACAGCACCGACCGTGTTCCAGCTGACGTACGAAAAAAAACAGCCTAGCGACGTTTTTTGTGGACAGCAAGGGAAAACGAAGCGAGCGAACACAATGGAACATGGAGAGAACACCATAGTCGTGACCGACAGATCCTCTGGCAGAGGGCTAATTTGTCCTACGGGAGGGCAGTTTTTTGAAAATGGTTATAGAAGGTTGGGAGAAGGTGAGCTGACATAGGAGGAACAGGAAGGCGGAATAGTGAGGGGTTGTTGAATTTCAGTCAGGTGAGGCACAAAGTCAAACCATAGATAGGAACAAATTGTGAATAATGAGGCTGTAAGCAAACGCTATTTTATATCGAGGTAGAAACAGAAGCTTGCGTGTGCCGCCCAATTGTCACCAACTTACACTTGTACCAATTGCTACAAAAGGCGGTTGCAAAAAACGCCCATTTACGAAATCGTGATTCCCACGGTAAGATAAGCACACTGAGATTGATTAGCAGAAAACTATAAGCACGTATACGTGCTACACCAAAAGCAAAAAACCGGTTAATAGAATCTGGGACATACCGAAGTAGTGTCACCCCCACTAAACGTTCAAATTCAAAAGAGGTGCTCGGAGAGGGAACGCGAATGACAAAACAACAGGGCAGATTAAGCTTAGTGGTAAATGCTAGAAGTGGTCTTTGATGGAACCTCGATGGGGCAAGTTTTGCATCAAAGAGGACGTCCTGACAGGAAATAGACGGCAGTAAAATCATAAGTTTTGCTAAATTATTTACGACCTCATAAGAAAGACTGAGGAACACACATGAACAGCTCTTCCGTCAGTGAATGAAAAGGAAACCACATGACGAAGTGATTAAGCCGTTAACACAATAACTAACGTGCTACTAGGATTCACTTCAATAGTAAATAAGACAACAGTTAAAATAAAATGTAGAATAGACATAGCAGAGTGCAAACGGAGAGAGGTAAAAGCTAAAAAAATATACAGGTAGCATTGAAAGCAAGATTACTCAAAAGGGGTTTGGAGGCAGTCGCGAGAGGAGATGGTGAGGCAGATTAGGGAAATCCTGAGAGACAAATAACGTTATCGCCTCAATTTGGTCGAGTTGTGGTGGAAAGACTACGTCTTCGTCCATGTTCTTAGTGGACAAATTGATACCTACCCGTTGGATGTGAGTAATTGAAAATACTTTAAAGAGTGTGAACCCGAGATTCAACAAAATGAGTGCCCAATGCGCCATTGACAAATGAGCGGTTCATTTGACGTTCAGAGCGTAGTTCAATGAGTGAAAAACGGTGGTTTTAGTTGACAGCAGAGCATACATTGTGCTACTATCGCGAAGTTGTAGTAAACAAGACAAAAAAATACCAGTTTGCACTGAATATAATTTAGAGCGTTACGCTACCTGCCAGACAGAAGTAAAGTGGTTTCAATGTCTGCATTTATTGGAAGGGCCGCAAGAGAAGGTATTTCCACGTGGTGAGAACCAACATATCGTTTGGACCAATGGCTACAAATTAGGAACGGTAACGAGGCCAAAATCACCCATTAGCGATATCTACTAGAAGGTTACGATTTACGCTTTATCAATTAGTAACATACATGGGGCCAATATTTTACTTGACCCAGATAATTAAAAAGAAAACCAATTGCAGTGAAAGGTCCTGTATTAAATGGGAGCTGAAATAGACTTCCGTTTAAAATCTCAATTTAGTTTTCGCGTCGGCATTAAAAAATACTGAATAAACGATATTATAACACGACTGGTGTTTTTAAAATTAACCACAAGAAACCAAGATTTGCAGTTGCCGAACAGATACTTGAGTAATGGCATAGGCTGATAGTCTTAAGCCGTATTTGCTAAAATCTTACCCTCTGCAGGATTTAACAAACACGCATCACCGATTTGATTGCTTGAATGTGCATGCGTATACAGCTTAGAGCACGTTGAAAGTTACGAAATTCCGATACTTTACATTTGAACTCCTGTAGTAGTACGCGAAATTGCTAACAGGTTTAATGATAACAATACAGGTAGTATTCGCTAATAGCTACTATTAGTTTAGCGAACAGGCGTCTGGCCACTTGGAGTGTCGAGGCCATGAGCGAAAACTAATTAGCGGTTTCAAAAAAGTACCAACAGCTAGACTAGCAGCAAAGACAACAATTTTAGCGTCAACAAGGACTACTTCCAAATCAATTTTACTAATAAAAGAAACCAAAGAGATCAAATTAGTCCCTAGGACAGAGTAGTATTCGAAAAGAAATTCGTGAAAATTATTTACGTGTGCACAAATCGAAGCGATTTAATGGTGAGGAGGCAGTTTGGAGGCACTGAAATAAGAACACATTGAAAGGCATAAAACAGATAAGGCGATAATTAAATTATTGCATGGTATCATTCCCACGTTGGGTAGAAGGCAAAAAGTTCCAACAGTCTACAAAAATTAGTTGTGGTAACAGATGGAGAGCATGAATGAAACCTTGGAGGAGGAGGAGCACATTGTTTTTTCGAAATCAAGTTTGGAGCATTTGCGTTGACGCGTTTGAGTAATTCAGGGAAGAATACTTTTAAAGGTTTGCCGAGGATGAGCTTCGCCCCACCAAAATGAACTCAGCTAAGTATCGGAGCTTCAAAGCATTTAAGGTACGGCTTTATCTAAACTAATGATTGCACAATTTGCTATACAAATGTAATTGGATTCAGAAACCCGCTTTATAAGCCTTGTAGTAAACACATTAAAATGAAGCTGCGTAATTTAAGTCTATTTCGCGTTTTCTTTCACAGAGAACCGTTTTGCCTTGAACGATTCTCTACACAATACACTCGGAGACGCCCAGATTATTTGTGGCACTCTGCCATAGCTGAATGTGCTGAACTTTGCCGATGTTGGCGATTGCGGTGCGCACACGGGATTCACCTGAATCGCCGCCACCTGATTTCACTTCGGGAATCCCCAGTCAGGTAAACTGTATGGACCAAACGTGACAAGAAATCGTTGTAGCTACTGTAGCGACAATGGCTGGTGCGAACCGATTGCATAACGAGGGATCCAGACACCTTGGTGATTCATTTTTTGAGTTTACTGTTCAATTTACGATAGCCTCCCTTGCGATTAACCCTTCACACAATGAAAAACCACCCAGCTTTGTCCCAAACACTAAAATTAGTTTGTTCACCTTAAAAACGCACAAGACGATAATTTCTGATCATCCCTTCGCCAATAACCTTAGTACTTCGACACTTTGTCCAGTGTTTAACTACCAGAAGTAGCCAGTCGACGAGGTATTTTTGGTCATTGTAAATCCAGAAAAGGCCTTCATTGTCAAGTACAGTAGCAAATCCCCAACAGCACACTCAGTGGCGACGACTCAATGACTCCGTGATTTTAAAGCGTGTTCCGGCAAGCTGATAACGTCAAATAGTCTGCGAGTAACTCTAATTTGTACAGGAAGAATAAACAGGTTGATTATCAGAACGCATCCGCAGCTAACGCTATGAAAATCACAACGGCAAACGCATCACACTGGACGAATGGCAAAGGATTACTTTCTTCAACAGGGAAATTCACCACGCACAAATAAACGATGTGCCTTCTCCAACACTGGCCTTCATCCAGCGACTTCGCATGAATCCATATTTGGATTTATGAGCAACTTCTGACCGTGCCATCACGTGCACATCCTTGTCCCAGGAAGGCGTTTGTCCACCAACAGATGTATCACATTTGTTGGGGCTCATGCCAGCCTGTTTAACCCAAATTTTAGAGCATCAAAATAAAAATCTTAACGTATATTAAAATGTAACAATAGCCTCGTTACGCAAGTTATGTTCCACTGTTTCGAGGAGCCAATTCCACATCAGCACAAACACTGACTACTTGCTTGGCGCCCATTGTGCGTGCAAAGTGGAATTACGATATAAGCAGATATCGGAAAGGCGGTTCGTAGAAATTCGGAAAGACGGAAAGAAAAGGAACAGAAATCTCCAGCTTTAGGAACCAGCTTACAAGTGCTTACTTTTAGCAAAACCTCCATTCATGTAATGAAAGGTTACACGGGTGACAAGCAACCGTTGCCGCTGCTTATCAAAACATTGCGATCCTGTACAAGCAGAAACAACACAAACATTCTGCGTTAAGAACATTTACTTTCAAAACATAAAAATCGTCATTGAAAACTGCTTCGAAAGTGCGACCTTGAAAAAGTGTGGCAAAAAACCCAAACCCATTAACTAGGGTCAGCACTACGAATCGGCCCGGCATGAGGTACCATGGTAATGCGACCTGGCCTTTTCAGTTCAAACATGCGTCACAGCAAGTCGGTGTCGCGTATACATCGCTGGGTGTGATAAATAAACAGTAGTGCCTAGTGTTGACTCACGGCTCGATTGTTAAAACGATGTACGGTAAGACATTTTGATGGTGCCTTTAACCGTTGAATGTGGAGCTGAAAGTGACACCCGCACGAATCGACGACATGCGTAAACAGACGTTTACCGAGACTACTTTCGCCCCGCCGCCGCCGCCACACAAGTGGAGAGCCTCTCAGCTGTAAAGACCCGACAAAACGACTAACATTGCGTGTGTGTCACTGGAGGAGAAAACAACAGCCCCGGGATTTTGAAGTAAATTTGGTACTCGACGAGGTAAATCCGGTAGCTAAGATTAGCGGCTAAAGAGGATAAAGTGGTGGCACTAGTGACATAAACTTATCACTAAGGCGTTTGGGTGTCATTGATAGTTTGAAGTTAAGCAACATAATAGGGAGTGGTTTCGTGAACGAGCAAATAATTCCGAGCCTTTCTTGCTTTTCGGCTCAGGTACGTAGGATAGAGTGCTAAAGTGGCACGTTTGGAGCTATGATCAACTACTTTTTTTCATCAACGTTCAATCACACACCAAAGTCATCACAACATTTCATCCCACTCCGTTGAAAAGTGCGATACTACGGAGTCGAGTGAAGTTATCGGCGATACATGCCATTAAGACAGACCGACGAATGCACATGGATGGTTTTTATTGGGTCTCCAAAAAATAGCATTTTCAGGAAAATAATAATTCAATATGACTAGTGATCACTTGGAAAAGACCTTTTGAAGGTTTACGATGGAATCTGACAAAACGGCTGACGCCAACGCTTTATACGTGACAGAAAAAAGTCCTTTGCAGAAATAAACGAAGACAAAGAGATGCTATGGGCGTCAAAAACGATTGTATGGATGAGGGGGCCTGAATTAAACAATGAATGAAAGATGGGTTGACTCACGCGAAACTTCAATGAGTTCAGGGTAGGCCTCATAGGTGATCAGGGGAATGGGAAGCTGGCGAAGGAAGGACTTAATGAGACTTGTTATTGTATTCAAGTCACTGCATCGTTTCTCCGAGAGATCAACTGATTCACAGTCTAAAATGGAATTCGACTTATGATGCATCTTAATTTGTCAGAAATGTCGTCCCAAAAAAGTGGGATTCTCCAAATTATGACAGATTCGTGTGACATAGGACAACAAAGGCAGTAACTACGAGGTAACGAGTTGCAGGCACAACGACTTCAGATGGAGTAGAGAAAGCAAGGGTCGACCCGAGGCCTTCCGGTCACGGTGATTGCCGAACATCACTTCTTGCTGCCACAGCTATCGCCATTCCCGTTTGGCGCGACTACCTAGCGCCGCACCGCTTCAGGTCAAATTGAATTAAAAGTTGTACATTAGAGCTACATTTGTCACTACATGCTTTTTTTCAACGGTGCTTACCGCTTTTAGAGCACATATCTGTCTCTATTATGATAACAACTAGGTGTTTTTTCTGACACATTTGAACTAGTAGGACCTAGGGTACAATTAGAAAACAATGACTATAGCTTTAGAGGCCTAGAGCGAAGAAATAAAAGCAACGCATGCGTATTCAGTTAATGCCAACATTTGCAACCCAAGCGAATCCCGCAAATATGCATCGAGTAAAGCAACCACAAAATGGAATCGAAAGCAGCGAAGGATGACCTACTCAACGCGTAAGTCCCAACTTTTGTGGGGTAGGACTTTTTTAAAAGTTTACATTCAAGCCAAAGTAATTTAGCAAGGAGATATTGCTTTAAGCAATAAAGCGATTAAGTTATGAAGTAGATAAATCATTACTGGCCGTAAAACATTAAATTAAGGCAGAATGGTGCAATGACAACCCTGGATAGTAGTTAGGCATTTGGGATAGATGGAGGTGATTAGTGAAAGAAAAAAAAAGCATTTGGGTTATGACGAAACCGCAGTTAGTTGCAAAGCAGTTGTGCAATTTGCAATCGAACGAGGACGTTTACTGAAATAAGCAAGCGGAATGAAAAATAATAAAAGCATCAAGGAAATATGGAACCAACTGTTGACTAGTCAACACATCACGGAAGCACCAGATTAGCAACAGTTTAAGTATACGAGTTGAGGTAGAGTGACTTCTGAGCAGTCGGTGTTCAAGCTGTCGCCTGTGCTCATCATGCGCCTCAATGTGCCTGTGGGATAACACACCATTCTCTACATCTAGAACTCCGGCTAACACATGATTCAGACAAATCGCGACACTGCAACCGAATGACAGCATTTGCAATGAAACGTAGGTTGGAGAGAGGAGTGAAGAAAAGTGAAGCGATGAATCTCGCCCAAATGTGACGTCTCGTTTAGTTAGTGCTAGAGTTTTGTAGGATGACGTGCGGAACTTGGGCCCAATAAAAAACACAAATCGAAATGTTTATCTTGTTGCTCAGTGGTAAGTACTTGGTCCACTCGTTAAGGCTGTCACAAGTTTAAATTGTGCATCCAAATGTCGTACGGAGCCTAGAATTCAGGCGACAGCAAATGTGACGAAAGGGTGAGCGTGAGAACAGTCAGAACAGGATAGGGCCAACAAAAGCACTGATGCAGGTGCCAGAACTAGTCTTTCACAATGGAACGGAATACCAAAACACAAATGCATTGTTACTAAATATATTCCCCTGTGACGAAATAATTTGACTAGGGTGCCAATTCGATGCGAAGGAATCATTGCAAGCGCTCCACTTACAAAAAATGCCGAAAACTGCTGAAACCATCACGCACCCCAACCAAAAGGTTATCTCCCCATTGGTAAGGATATTTTAGAGGGATACACTTCCCTTTGCTCTGTAGAAGCAGAATCCGCGGTAGGTTACGATATTTAGGAGTGAAAGAAAACCCGAAAATGGCATTCGTGTTCTGCCTTAAAAATATCGACGGGATGAAGTAAAGGTTAAGAATGCATAATTTCACACACAATTAAGCTCCCTTGGTAAACAACGCGGTCTACCATTGTAGAAAAAACCAGGTAAATCATTTGCTAGCCAGCCACCTTCTTGGAGGAGCTGCACTGTGGCATCAATGAGCTTAGAAAATTGAGCCTGGAAAGTCGTTGCCCCAAATTACGATTCACCAACAGTGCATCAATCGTCCGAATGTGCCTCATTTTTAACCGGATCGAGGTGCGCAGCAGTTGAGCACTGTTTAAATGTCGAGCATTGAATGACGAAGATTAAAATGGTTAGCACTAAGAAGTATATGGTGTCTAGATGTTACGGGAGGTGTTAAAATAGGCTTCGGAATCACGCGGGAACAAACATGGTCAACTTAAATGGCAGGCCTTAAAATACGTCGGCTAACGGAATGTGACGCGTTTCCTCAAAGCTACAAAACCTATTTGTTGTGAGGTTGGGGGCTATGCCTAAAGAATTACTGGCTAGATGCAAGAGAGCCTTTGGATTCTTCGAAGAAAGTCAGAGGAAAGACACATAAGCGTTAAAAATTATACATCAAATTGATTGCTACCCTAGAAGGGGCCAAGCAGATTTACAAAATACGCGATTATTTTATAGTTATACTCCGCTCGGCGGGGTTTCGGACTAATTTGCAAAATATTTGGCAATCACACCACTGCCTCGACGAAGAATGTGGATGCACTTCAAAAAAACCGATCAAATTCCAAAAACGCGAGCAGTGGCACAATATGGCACACGCAACAGTGACTAGATTTCAAAAAGGCATAAGAAATGGCAGTACAGTCGCGGTCTCTTCATGATATCAAGGCATTACGATTAAAAAAGTAATACGATATAAATACATCATCCTGAAAGATTCTACAGTTGACAGGCGAGGAGTGGCTTACAAAACAGGAGCCTTAAAGGCAAGGGACATACCTATGCGAACCCCAGATAACTTAAGTGTTGGTTATCTGAGTAGTTGCGGAGTACACAACCACCCAGTTATGGTAATAATTTTATTGTCAATGATGGAGACTGCGAGGAAAATCGCTCACCTTTGTCCAATGCGATGCGGAAGTCCTCGACAATCTCCTGATTACCAGGAACCCTGTAAACACCCTCAGTCATGAGGCCACCTCGTCGCTCCAACTCCGTGATACATTTGACCAGAACCTGAGGGACAGTCCTAGAAAAAAGTCGGGACAAATCGGTACTGTGGATGCGAACGTATGCAAATATTGGTGCTTTTGTGGTAAAAAAAGAATCGATAATGGCCTGTACCTGTCATAGATTTTTTCATCAAGTATTTCCTAAACGTTCTAATAGAAAAGCAGAAAGCCATTTGAAAGTCGGAGCCAAAATTTCAAGTGTGTCATTGCTTTTGTCCCGCCTGCCTCAAACACAGTTAGGTCGACTTCGCACAAGGTGAATGATAATTATGACGAATAGCCGTAGCCGTGTCATGTGTCCAGAGAGATAAAAAGTGTAATCGTAAATTTGAACGCAACAGGATGCTGCAAACATGAAATAAAGTATGAAAGAATATATGGTAACAAGATCGTCTGCGTCGCTATATTGACTCCATTCCAATATCCATGAGTGGTCAAAAATGAACAGTCACGTGTGAAACGTAATGTGAAGATATTTTTAAAACAAATGATGAATTTGAGGTGACTAAAGACCCACATCAGAAAGAAATTCAAAGACGATTAGAAAGAAGGATTGAAGCGTCGATGATACAGCTGATTTCGGGTGTTTGTGTGGCGACAATAAACCCAAAACATCGTAGGGAAAGGATGATTATGACATTGAGACCACCAGCTGGGATCAGTGGGCGTCACTGACGGATTCATGAATCAATTCGCCAAGTGGTCCACACGAGGATCTGGAGTCTTTAAGTTTAGACTTGATGCAAGGATGCACAATAGCGAAACTAAGTACTAATTACTAAGCAACGATCGATGCAGCTTAATAACAGACAATCCTGAAGATGCGATAAAAAAATCACACAGCAACGAAATTTTCACAGTTGCGTGAATCTCAGGTCGATGGTGGTTTTACGTCGAAAGCAGAATAAATTACTGTAACTTATTACACTGGCAAACTGTAACTTATTAACAGACCTTCACACAGAACAGGGTTCTTGAGTGCAGAAAAAAAGAGTTGATTCCTAGGGCGTAACGGCCAGAGAATCCATTGTAGGTGATGATGGAGCAATTGAAATTTATAACTGTGGATTCACGGTGAATGATGACTACTACACAAACAATAAAGTACGAAACGAATAACCTCAATCTGAACGAAGGCTTCTTCCTGAAGCGGTTTGGGCTAGTTACAAAGTCGTCAAAGCAGTCGTTTATTCAAAAGCAGATCTCACCATCGAAGCAGACTCAGTTTACACGACAATGAATTCTTTGTGTTCCTTACCCCTTTGTGTTTCGGTTTGTGTCTCACTAGTCTATGATGGTAAGCCAAACTAGAAAAAAAAACAGGTAAGGCAGTTCGCAGTGGTCGCGAGTCCGTAATCAACACAAAACCGACACGAACCACCATTGACCTCTGTGTATACTCAGCGTTGCTCAAGAAAACGTATCCAGAATAAATTACACCGCACTGTTCGGGGAGAAGGAGAGAGCTAATTGACTTCCGGAGTTAGCAACTGGCCGGCGGCCAATCGACGCACGTCAGGACTGGCATGTGCTATAGCCGGCAGGTTATATAAGCAACCAATGAGATAAACGCACCAAGAGATGCATCGTTTCTGTTTTGACGGCTGGCTACCCGGCTCGTGCAAACGCAAGTCAGAAAAGATGAAATAATCGATTGCTGCACACAACAATCGTCGCACACTGAGACCAATGGTGACGCAACAAAGCAGAACACCACTGTATAATAAACCGATGCGGCAAAATGCCACTTTAGTTCGACGGTTTTGGTCCAAACGATATCTGGTTAGCTAACACTGGAATTTAGCTAATTGAACTAGTAATTATCGACATATTAGCATTACAAAGTATTGGCTGACTGAAATAAAACATTGAATAGAGTGAGGTTGGGAAACGAGGGATGAACCATGAGCTGTATAGAATCGTGCAGAGGTTTTGTTTGCGGGGGAAGTGCTTACCGAGTGTTCGTACAAAATGCCACCTTATTCGGTCAAAGCGAAGGTGGCTGAGAAACAATGGATAAAAAGACCTACGCATATTCCATTACTTTGGAATTAACTGCATTGGCAACCGCCGTGTACCTTGAGGTGCACCCAAACGACTAGTAAATACAATGAGTGAATCGCTCCGAAATCCACTTTATCGGCTTCAGCCTAGAATTTCGTGTATTGACACCTAATTACTGACCTTTGAATAATGATTACTGAAATTTTGTGACTTAGCATACAAGCTAATGCCACACCCCCCGAGACTAGATAAATAGACGAACGTGTGCATTTTGTCGCCACACCATCCACTCCAGGTTTTGCGGATTGTGCTGTGGCACAAAAACTGGTCACCCGGATGGAGACCCAGATTTAACAATTGCATCACGTAGATAGGCAAATCGGCGCGGGTTTTCTATGACGTAGGCATGGAGTAGGTAGTAAATAGACAACACAAGCTATCCATAGTTGCCGAGAGCAAGCTAAACTTTGCCACCGCGTCACACACACACACAAGCGCACAAGTCGGTTAAGTGAGTCAGGTGTCCTCAATGTAGGATTCCGGAGGCCGAATGAGAGCCAAAGGGCATGTGTGAACCACCCGGATGGAATCCTGCTCTTCTTTCGCAAAAGTCTGAGAGGCCTACTAATGGGACATGGCGCCATGGCAGAAATTACCGCGGTTCGACAAAGGAGTTTTAGAAAGGGTAGCCTGCCAACACGGGACAGGCCCGCCAATGCAAGAAAATCGAAACAGCAAACACGTAAACAACACACTAATGGAGGATTAATGAGGCAAGAGGCCTGCAACAGAGGGAAGTATAGACAACTCTTGAGTCGCTGGTCAGGCAGCCGGACATCTACACCGCCGATACAGCATATCCAAAATGAGCCACGAAGTCTGTCCATCGGATTTTCCGACGGTAATAAAAATTTAGAAAAAAATGGAGCAGGCTAATCATACTGTATCAATACGTTCCAGAATATACACTTAAACAACCTTAAACTCTTAGGTCATGTAAAAATTATACTTTGTTGCATATTTTTGAAAGGATCTACTCTGTTATTACGCTATTTCGCGACCTTTAAATATGCAGCCATGCACCGACAAACCCGACATTCCATGTAAACGATCTCCTTAAAAATGGCAATAATATTTAATTCATTTTACCTTTCTCAGGTTAGTCGAGTATTAAGGTCAGGCTTTCCAGACGTGTTATGTGGTATTCAACGCGAGGCATTATTAACTTTGTGCTAAATAGGCTCCAAGTACCAGAGTGAGTCATGCATGGCTTAAATGTGCTCAACATGCGCACAGTTAGACCAAACACGCCATAAGCCTGAGAAGGGTGGTGTCAGTTTCTTAGGCATTTCTAGCATTATTCAAAAATTTTATAGACACTTTTTTTCCAACTGTCAGAACTGAAAACCCCCTAGCTTTAAGAACCGGAAACCAGAACGAGTGCATCAATTCAACAAGGTACCAGAACCTAAACTCGACAATAATAGGTTTTGTGTCCTAAGAGTGCCCACGTCATCGTGATTATGGGAGTCGCGATTGCCTTACTTTTGCATGCCTACTTGAAGCTGGAACAGACAAAACACACGTGTTAAATCAAGTCAGCTGAGAAGAATGCCGAGAACAGCCAAAAGGCGATGCGAGGTGTTGCACTTAACGCAATGGATTTTATGAGCCATGAGCCGTGTCGGGGTTGTAAACGCAGAAGCAGAAATTTGCTGCCAGGCAGGAGGAGGAGAATCATAAGCGAAATAGCGCAAACGAGCACGCCCTGTCAAAAAGTCAAGACGATTTGGTATTGTGGTGTCAGGTTACAAAGCCAATCTTACAGGACACTGAATTCTTTGCTTGGGGGGCAAAAAGAACACAATGACTTATCTAATGCAAGCACTACTCCACATTTCAAACGCTTGTCATGATTATTGTAAGTTTTATCGGCATATGTAGAGGGTGGTGCATAAACTAAGGCTATCAAAGCACACCGTTAGGAGCTACCGGAAAGTGTAAAGGAATCGTTTTCAAATAATCTGCGAAGATCTGCATTTCGAAGAAACGCGGGATAAGGTAATTACACGCAAAGGAAAACCCCAAAACGGCTTGTTAGAGGATGTTGTGACCCGAAATGGACAGGAAGACTTTACATAAGGCTGAGAGCAAATCAGTCGCGTTTTTTTCATGCGATCACAAAACTGAAGTTTGGTGAGCGCTGTAATTAAACAGTGTATTAAACAAACACAGAACCCATCGTTGGTCGCGTTAAAGCATAATTACATACACGGGAACATGTGTTGACCCATGTTGTCGCCGTCACAAGTCATTGGGAAGAAAAATGGAAATCAGACAGACCGCCACTAGAACAAGACCCAAACATGACGGTACAGGAGGAGAAACTTACGTCGACCTAATAATTATTGGAAGTACAAAAGCCAAAAGGAGTTGGCCTAAGCACAACACTTACCAATGGGGGACGATGCTTGGCGAATCGATAAAAGGAATTGCTAGCAATGCCCTGGTCCTTATAGCTAACTACATGCATTAGCGAGTTCATCAAGAAGGAAAAAAGGACGGACGCTAGGCTGATTAAAACGACGCTTTAGGGGAGTTACATCGAGCCTGAAACGCACGTCCCGTGCAATAGCATGGGCGAGTACTTTGTAATCTAAGTACATAAAAGCGAACAAAATGGAAGTGGATCATGGTACCAGTGTGAGGAAACACGTGAGGTCGGGACGAGGATCTAGTAAGTTAGAAATTAACATGCTATCACAGACTTTATTTGTTGATTTAAAACTGTTTCAGTAATAATTTCGGTACATCCCAACACACAATTCGTGGGCTGAGCGTTGTGTTAGGATGATGAAGGGTTCACAATTTGCACAAAACAAACTCCTGAGGAAGTTACAGACATTAGCAAACTGCCACAACTGTACAAAATTCTCCCTTTCAGCGCTATTTTCACTAAATTGTAGCGTTTTGCCAACCAGACGACCTTGTGACACTAACAGCAACCGTGGCGCTTAGGAAGCTGCGTTAAGGGACGACAAATAAGTATTGTGGACTTGCATGTGACAAAAAACACTGTTTAGTCGTTGAAATTGGAATTATGCTTAGTAAGAAGGTATTAACCACGTCCAGATCTGATCAGAGGAGAGTTGTCGGGAAGATCAGAGGCAGAAAGTTTAGATAAAAAAATAAAATGATTACTTGGCAAGTAATCATTTCAGCCAATAGAAAACAGTCTTTTGCTGATAGTGTTACAATGTGCTCACCTGTTTTCAGCGCGAACCAAACTCGTCAGATCGACACCGAAGACTCGCTTTAGGCGCTTCATGTCTGGAAGACAGTCATTAGGGACGCTTATTGAGCAGCGTTTGTGTGCCTAGGAAACAGAATAAGACAAAGAAATTAGACTAACAGAAAACGCAACCTGTAAAAGCAGTGTAATGCAATGTTAATTCCCTTTCCGGACTTCTAAGCGAGGTAAGTTTTACAAAACAGCGTTTAACAAAAAAAAGTAGGCAGCACCACCAAGTTTGTCTACTTCCATTTGTAAAGTACCGCCTTAGTGGGGAAATTAAAAACACATTTTCAGATAGTTTTGAAATTGCAAATAAAATTTACGCGAGGAACTATAGATGGCACTTGAGAGTTGTGCTTTCTAAGTATTTTGATGCAATTTTTTGAATGCCACCAACTACTTGAGAATTACGGAAACGAAGGAATGGAGTGCCTCTTCTGAGATATCTATGCGGCGCCTATATCTTGATTTGTGGCATTAGCAAAGGAAACTTTGGAATTAGGGGGTTCACGGATGACGAAAGGGCATGTACGTGGGGCCCAACTGGTTTGCGCTGTCGACAAGTCCGTTAATGCAAAGACAATAAGTGAGGGGTATCTGATGAGTCATAAAATCTCCCATCCCGAATCCCCCTTTTGTAGCGCCAAGACAAAAGCACCCCCAACTTGGTTTACAGTGAGTGGCACTGACCGGAAGTGTGGATGTTTAAACACGTACCTGATAAATTATTAATGTGGCAGGAATCTGCCTCCTAATTCAAAATGTGACTTACAATTAAGGACAGCACAATGATGAGACCCATAATAAGTAACACCTGCCTAAACGACAATTCCACTAGAGTGGATTAGCTTGGGGATGCCGAATACATCAAAGTGATGGGCAATCTTGTGAACCGCAAACAATTCACACGCCACACCGGTAATAAACTGATCAAGTGAGCAGCACTAGCCGAGATGTACTATAGGCAGGTACCTACGCGATTTTCCAACAAGGAGACGAACTGCATGGGGCGCTCAAGGACTACTAAGCTGCACGACACCTTCCAGCACTACGGTGAGTGTCCAATTTTGCTTGCATGTAGTACACAACAGGGGACATGAAAGCCGTGCACTGATAAAAAAAACCACCAGACCAGGGATTTGTGTGTTGGCCGCGTACCCTGCCGCCTAGTCATGTTAAAAGATTCTTATAGGTGTACCTGCATGACCTGCAGTTGGGAGGCCGGTAGCACACGAGCAACTGTTGTTAGGGGCATGTAATTAGTGTTGCGGTTGCCTTGACAAATAGGTTTCCAAACTCGGCCACTAATCCTTCAAGTCATTTATCAAATACATTAAAATTGCAAAGGAATTGACGGCAGGCAATACATCATTCCACATATAGAGACAGAAATAGGTAGTGAATTGATCACAAAAATGGCAGTCCATGTTTAAACACTTCACCATCACCATCCGTCAAGCATTCAACTGAGCGATGGATGTCCACTGGAGTAGACTGGCACAAACTAATAGGAAAATTAGGTTTCGTGGGCTAAATTGGGTCCCCTGCGGTACTTCGAATCCCTCAACGCATAAGAACTTGACACTCAACCTCCTACTCACCCATCCTGCAACATCCGGCAAGATGACATTTTGACGTCTTCAACAAAAATATTTGCACCCAACAAAGTTGCATTGTTTCAATTTAAAGAGCACCAACTTTCAAATTGTCTCACCCGCTCTTAAGTAAATAGAAGATAAGTGCGCAACCTAACACTCAAGGGAGCACGTTACAGTCCAGACGATGTCATTTTCTACCTCAAGTCGCATGTAATCGAGGTGTAAAAAGTGCGTGGCCTTTTTTTATTGTCATTGTCAATAAGTACCCACGTAGGGCACACTTTTCGGCTTACACCCAAATCAGTATTTATTAAATAAAATGAACACTTTCTGCACACTTTCGGCATTGACATGCTTAAAAATCCACATTCACCATCGCGGTGCAGCGAAGAAAATAGCCTGAAACGCTAACCGTGGCGGCAGGCGTCCCTGTTTAGCATGTCACTTTAAAAAGTGTGAACAGATGCAGCAGCCGCAAGACAGACTGAGAGCTGGAAACCACCATCAAAACGGCTACTCAATACCCGCAGGTGAAACAGTTTTTAATGGTTAATTGCAGTTTAGTATAACACATGGAAACGGTTAGTATTTTAATTTTTTTAATTTAACAGGATCATAACCAGCATTCGAAGGTTTGCATACGGTGTTTTCTTTGCAGTGAACAACTGCTGTCCACTTACTGGACCATCTACTCTAACACGGAAGGCCACAAGGTTGTTGGCAAGTCTGTTTTTTGGGGTTTCCTATCCCCACACCGATACGCAAAGCATCTGTTGTCGGAACACACAAACGGAGACATTGGTTATACGCGTGTGTACCGGAGTTTTGGACTGACGGACCGGCCTGCAGACATGGCATAATGCGCGTTCGTGATTAATACTCAGTGTGACTCAAGGGGGGCAACACTTTCCTCTCTCCCATCCCACCGGCAGCGAGACAGATGTAGGCCCCTTCTCTGGGGTACTAGGAGTGTTGGTAATTTATCTTGCTCGAGACGTATTGGGAACTGTTTACATCTCGAGGCGCCTTGGGTCGACAGTAAGAGGCCACAAGACTGAAAAAAATATCATCTATTCTGAAGTCCAGGTACAATGATAATGTCTAAACATCAATTCCACATAAATTCAGGATCGTAAAGTGGAAAATCACCCATAGGCCCTCAAACAATCCAAAAGAAGAGGGGCTGAACATTTAGAACCAGGCATTCGATGGGCTACATGCAATGTCCAAAGGCTAGGTATTTCGGGGGTGCAAGACCCGTTAGTCATGTCAAACACGCCGCAAACACTCGAGGGGATTCACGCAAAGCTCATCCTGTGAAGTGCATAAGAAAGCTTAAAAAAGAAAAAGTTGCAGAAACCGAATGCACCAGGTCACAGTTTGAGATTACCTAGAAGAGGTTTTAGAGAGAAAATTGTGATTACTGTAACTAAGGCTTCATCACTATTACGAAGGGGACCCGGAACAACTAAAGTTGTCTACATTCAGTGACTAAACTCCTGATACGAACAAGGTTAATTATTTAAGGCGACCGAGAACTCACCTGAAATCCACAGTCGACACATCTTACACCCTGCGAAACCAGACCCCAGATGAAGTGGGTGCAGAAGTCGCACCAATGCGGTCCTCGGAAGGTGTGCACTCGGAAGGCATGTGCCTTCTCTACATCGACGTGTATGATGGCCAATGGAGTCGCCGCTGTTGCAGTCGCGGGGGGAACCGCGCCGACGACATGTAGGGAGGCCCGGTTGCCATCGACGTCCAGCCCACCATCTAGACTTACCGGCAGGGTGGAAGCGAGACTTCGGTGGTGGTGAATGCTGCTGCCTCCTTTCCGGCGGCCGTTGCCACTGCCGCCAGACTGGCGACTATTTAAACTGGCGTCACCGCTGCTGGTGCTAGTTGAGCTGCCCGGCTTGGCGCTGGGCGAGAGAGAGGAGTCTGTGGACGACTCAATCAGCGGAGGTCTGGGAAAAGGCAGTGAGGTGCTTCGGGCCTAAATACACGAGGTACACCTGCTATTAATGCTTCGAGTAAAATCCTAAACCGGAGTTCTGAGCAGTGGCCTGGGGTTGAATTCCGCCCGGCATTAATAAGGTTTAAAAGCCTAAATTGGCCACAGTAGCTTATTCACCTTAAGCATCTTCTGCTTTTAAAGGTTGTACCTCTGCCAAATGCTTGATGACTCGCCAGTGATGAGAAAGTGAGGTATTCGTGTGAAAAAATGAAAGCGAGTTTATGGGAAAAAGAGGAGAGAATGAAGCCGGCATCGGATCCACCATATATTACAGGACTTGAAGTAAGGTACGGATTACAATCCAGGTAACTACGCTCGAATGATTAAGATAAAGCTTATGGAACCGATATAAGAAAATGAGAAAATTGGTTCGATTTGCGGAAACTCGAGGAGCCTGAAAAACAGACAGAAGCTGTGTGCACGTAAAAATTGATTCACGAAAACGCCCCAAGTGATGAGTACCGTTTAAGGGAGAAATTTTCTTAGATTCGACCTTCACTAATTTATAGGACAGCAGATATTTTTTGACAAAGCACCTGTCAAATACCGGACGAGGTGATGGCTAAGGGCTTAAACGAATCGAGTGTGTTAGCACCACAAATTAGGATTATGTCACAAAGAAAGCATCACGAAAATGATCCGAGCGGTGTAAAAGCTGCCTGCAGGATCAGAGGGGAGATTAATCAGTGTGGGTGGCAAAGCGAATCAGTAGAACGTCCGCTTCTGGCTAAATAAGCCCAAGTGGAACAATCCGGAGCCGTTTGTGGTATATGGAAGCTAATTTAGAGCGACTTACACCGTAATAATTATTTCAAATTGTTAGTAAGCTACCAGATATCGCATGAGTGGCCAAAAATTTGTGACTGGAACGATGAAAAAATACCACAGGATTTCATGTAACGGAAATGAGTACACCAGATAGTAATCTAACATATCACTCAGGAACCAGCTTCAGACTAGCTGGATGTTACGAACAATATGCATTGACATTTTGTTTAATTATAATGCCTAAGTTCTCAGAAAGTGTCAATCAATTGCATCAATTCTGGCAACAAATAATTGAGCAAAGTGGAGAACAAGTGGTTGAACTAAAATAGCGTCAAATACAGCCAAATTAAAATTGTGCCAAAAGTAATAAAACCGGTTTTGGATAAATTATGCTAAAAGTGGTAGCTAGGGTCGAGGCCAAAGTCTACGGCACAACTTCTGGCATTAAATATGTACTTTTAATTTTAGCATAAGGACATGACGAAATTCTTATCACTAGACACCTTAAACAGTTTGTGTTGATCAACCCAATCGAATAACAAATTATAGAATTTCTGCCTAGATAAGAATGCATAATTAAACCTAAAACGTGTCTAACAATATAGCATTACGGTGACCAAATAACGAACATCCGTGTGGACTTACAGCAATTGGAGGTTTTAATATACCTCTGCATTTCTAAGGTCCTTCAAAATGAAAAATAGGGTGATTTATCCCATTGATTTTTCAGAAGTTGCACAGTACGAGCCAAAAATACTTTATATGGCACGTATGAATGAAGACTAAAGACACAATAATGGGAATGGGTTCTATCAGCTTCTGAAAAGGTAATTTTCATCGAACCTTATAAAATAATGATGAACACAGAAACATAGGCAATCAGAAATGCAGATGTAGGGGTTAATTTGTCCGACTGGGTCATTCAACTAATCTTGACTAGAAAGGAGTCAAATTACCGGTTTTTCAATCGGTCCGCACAACACGGCCGAGGAATTCTTCGGGGAATCAGAGATATCACCGTTGGGAGCCTCTTTATCTACTGGAGGATTAAATTCGGAGAGCTGAGTAGTCGGGGTTTTTTGATATCCATCAAGCAGTTCATCTACCGAGGACTGACGCCGATGGTTAGGGCCACTGATGGCCGAAACCACGAGCCTTGATGAGGGCGCCAAACTTTGTCTCGTAGGCGGGGGTGGTGGAACAGCATTTACTGTGTGATATCGAGTCTAAAGTTTAAACATTTTTAAAGGAGGAAATTTTAAAATAAGTGTAAGAACAAACACATTCAAAAAGAGCAATTTAGCAACACTGTATTTGCGTACTTAAGTATGCATAATCAAGTTATTTCTTAAAAGTTATTTATTTACTCCGCATTCAGGCAAAAATGTACTATTTTTAATATCGCCCTGCTAAAAACAGTCAGAACTACAGTAGCAGACGATCTGTGGAACACTAGCTATTCTATGGCTTGTGAAAGAATTATTGTGTCTGACGATGGAGCAACCGCAAATTTTGCTCATTACAAACTAATGAATATCACAACGCGCAATATCGACTTTGAACCGATTGAAGCAAGCCATATCATAACATTATGACCTTACAGAGCGAAATAGCAAGGCAAGCATTTGCTAACCTCTAGATTTCGAAACGCGTGACTTCTTTGAAACACAGGACAAAAACAAGCAAGATTTGGCGAAACCAGGTCGTGAAGTACGATTTCTAGATACATAAACCAGTTAACTAAAAACGTTGGAGATGCTTCGAAGCAGTCATAAAGGCATTTCTGTAAATCAAATTGGGGCCATCAAAGATGCGAATCAATAGATCATAAATACACCTTTTCGCCAAGATGTGAAAATTCGTAACGAATTTAACAACGGTAGTAACTAGGATCGAAGTTAAATTCAAACCAATTAATCAGTAGGCTGTTAGAGATTAAATAAAATAGCGAAAGGATAAATAATATAGCTAAGACACAGTGGTTTATGAAAAATCGGAACATAAGTATACCCACATATATTCGAGGAAACTGGCTAAAAGTAGCCCCAATGAAAAAAATGTGGGTTGAATTAGAGGAATTAGTTTGAACTAGTCTTCAAGGCAAAACGACAGTCAGGAGCATTAGTCAAAACACCACTAAAGGGGACCAAAACAAGTGATAAAGTTTCATTCCAGCTATCAGATTATCAAGAGAAACAGGTCACACAGTTTAAGCACTTTTACAATTGAAAGCAATCAGCATACCTTATAATAAGGCGAATATTCGTAATTGTTAGCTTCAGACAGTTTCTGAAGAATATCAGCTCCGCGGGATTCGATATAAAGGTAGATCAATCCATCAGCCACTAGTTGATCGACTGATTCAAATTTCTTTTCACCAACAAAGTGAAGTTTTGAGGTAGCATCATAGAACAATTTGTAGTTTTTCGTTGAATCATCGAATCTTTAACAAACCTGAGTCAGATAATTTTGAGGAAAATACCTTATGGCTAAGGTAAAAGCACCATCTGCTCGCTGACTATCACGAATGAGGTAGGCTCCCGAAGGCTGCCCAGCTAATAACTCCTCGGTACCTTGTCGACTCAATGGTCCGTGGTAAGCCGCACCATACTGCTTTGGCACGTGATCAAGCTGGGCACTACAGACTATCGGAATGGGTTTGGGTGCCTCCCTCTGCAAATTATAAACTAAAATTTGGTAGGTTAATATTCTAAAAAAACCAATACGTTTATTTTGCCATATTCGCATTTCAGAACGGCGGTCCACCATCGCATTTTTGTAAAATTACTAAAACAAATGATTGTCGGGATTTACGACAAAGGGAAAGCACAAGCTGGAAGCCAGCGATAACATACGATACCAGAAACTCAAAAATTAACCAAATGTCGCGCCATTGTGTGAGGTAACTAAAACGTGAAAGTTGGGGTGCAGCAGTTACTAAAAGTATGCTTTCTCCTAAATTATCATGTCTACATGTGTCGATATTAATTAGATCTTCTAATGGACAGTATACATTTTCTAAACAGAAATTAGTTTTGAGGGATTGCCCGGAAACTCACAAGTGCTGGCATTTCATCCACACGATATAAAGTGAAATAGTAATCGTCCTAGACACAATTTTTTATTTTATGATTCTTTTTCTATGCTCTGATATTTTATTGGATTATATTACCATATTCTGTAAATCATATGCTGTTCTATTCTTTAACTTATGGGAACATACGGTTTAATATCGATTATCAGCTTCAATGATTGCAGCATTTTTAGTTCAATTTAATAAAAAACGCGAATACTAGTATTGGGCTCCATGGTTTGTAGTTTTAATGAGTGGCTGAGTGGCTGCAGTCATTCTAAGTACCGAAAATGCTAACAGCCAGAATTGCTTCCTAAAGTTTGGTTCAAGTACAGACAACATTATCTTGTGAAAAAAACGTCCTTATGTTAAAGAATACATTTTGCTTCACTGCATTGGTCAACAATCTTCACGATTTGGTAAGGATGAATACGGTTAACTATGATTGGATAAATAGATGGTTGTGTTTTCCAATGATATAATACAGAACATTAAGAACTATTGGGACAGACGGTATGGGACATTGGATGGCTATCGATGCCCACTTTTTTACTAAAAACCAAACGATTTTATCTGCACGAAGGGAACATGACAGCTGCTGCTACTGAGTTCTAATACCTGATTCCAAAGTAAAAGAACCTCTTGCATCTAGTATCCCGAATCAATTTGCCTTTTGTGTTGCCTGTTAATCCTTGTTCATTCGTTATTAATATGTAGACGATGGCACCATCGCCTTTTACACAAAACTCACTGTGTAATGATTAGTCATCCTAGCCACTTTTTATGCGCACCAACTCAAACAAATCCCATAATTAAAAACAACCATTTTCTAGGTCATCCACAGGTACTAGTATTTGTTAACTGAATTGGCCAGGGATGCACAAAACAAATATTGTGGCCTAGGAGCAACGGCGAGGTTGGATTATGGTGCCATGAGAAATAAAGAGACTCTTTTGCAATCAATAAAGTGCTTAATCTTCGATCACACAATTTTGTCAGCCTAGCTTTTGAGACCGTTTGCTATCGCCATTTCATTTGTGTATATTTTGAGCCCTTCGGGTTTGTATGTTCAACGATTGTTATGGAGGTGATAATGTGCGTGTGATCACAGTATTTACGACTTAATATTAAACAGATATACCTCCTGAATCTTAAATCAAATAGATTTTCAATCGCCGGGAAGAATAATTAAGCCATTAACATGCAGGTACTGGGTTGCTTTGGCGGTCAGAAGTAAGCAAAAGAAATACTGCTTATGACGAAGGCATTGTTCTACAGTATATAAGGGACTAACAATTAACAGAGAAGGGTAGGTTTAGGTCCCATTTTACTGATGAAAGTTTATTAAATACTTAGGTATCTGTATGATAGTCTTCTAAGGTTAAGTTTTATAAATTTAAGATGTTTAATCGCTCATAGTACATTTCTGGTAAAAAACAGCGTCCTATTTAAATCGAAACTAGGCCGTTTGGGATGACGTAAAATGGCTTGTCATAATAGTGTCTGTGATAAACCCGACTGCCTGAACAGGAAACTTATTTCAGTAATAGTGGAGAACTCTCGGTAACTTCTCATTAGGCGGAAAATTCCAACTTAAAAACCGAGTCTTAGTTTTTGCCTGAATTGGCAATGTTAATGTTGATCTTGAATTACTGCCTGTTTTGAATTGCAAGAATAAAATGATTGCCATCATAACTATTTTTTAGTTGTGGGTGCTGCAGTATGACTTAATATGATGGATGCCAATTAAGTCCGCATGAGTTGAACATTTTCTTAATCAGGCTTGCAAATTGGGGCCCTCAACGTAGCGAAATTTGAAACAGAAAAACTAATGCGACCAGTCAATCAAGCGCTTAAGAAATGGTCTAATTCCCGAACGTCACGCAGATTAGTTTGCCATTCATGACACTGAACACAGGTGACATCGCTAAGAGCATATTAATATTTCAAAAATCCCCAGGAGGGTATATAGTCCAAGGTACTGATTTATGTGATAAATATGTCAAGCAGAACGAGGCAAGCTCATTAAGATCCACATCATGACAAACCTCAGTAAATGCGTAAATGTAACTTTACTATAGACAAAGCGTTTGGCTAGATCCGCGTGAACTAGGTCCGTGGCGAAAATTGGGGGTAAACTTTTGCCACACGGCTTAACGCGGTGGTGGCAGCCGCCATAAATGGCTCATGAGTGAGATTTTATTAACCTGTTAGTGGGAGATATACCGTTGATATGGGTTCATAAAAATTCAAACAACACGCAAACCCCATGATATTAACAAATTGAAAACCAAGCAACAAGTTTTCAATAACGCTTAGCTCCCAGAAATTTTGTGCATATTCTCAGTCCATTCACTAGGCGGCTCTTGCTGTCAAGTAGGGGCATGCCCGCACGCTAGGAATGCGAGCTTCATGCTTAACGCCATCTGAACTCAAATGAATTTGTAGATGTGCCAGAATGAGTAACAGCGAAGACAACATGCGCAGCTTTCTATAAAACTGGCCTGAAAAAAATAAATATTAAAATTGCCTGTTATAGATAGCTTCATGTGGCTATTTATGTCTCTTATTCTTCCCTCTTGATGTATGCTAAGTGAACCGAAGGCTTAGATGTTGTCAGTGGCTCAAATAAAACCCATTCACATGGCTCATGACAGCAGTTACCGAGACACTTCATTCCACAGTTGTACTATGGAAACGGTGTTTTAATGCGTTTTACTCAGTCACAGGAAAATAATCGTTAAAAGGAAAGTCTGAAATTCGTGAAAAATGGCACTAATTTCTTATTTACAATTTAGTTTATGTAATTTTTATGAAGAAATCTGTTGAAACTGTTGGTGTATGAAGGTTTAACAATCGGATGAAAGATAAACAGGAAATGAAGTACGGGGCTTTTACGTGAACCAAGTTGTAAAGTGTTCTACAAGAAAAGCTTACCGTACCATCAGAAGACTGTACTGTAGTCCCTTATATCCACATTGCGATATTCTAAGTCTTACGTTCTCTAAATCTTAATGTTTTAGGTATTCTTGAGTACAAAAAACACGTGCGGTAACTCTTCACTCTACAAGTCAAGTTTGGGTTATCTTTCGAACTAGCGTTTGTACTCTTCCTCGCTCCAACTAAAAGAAAGCCTAACATGTAACAACCTTATTACTAGTAATAGTTAGGTATTAAAGTAGTGGTTTCCAAAATAAATTTATTCGTCATTTTAGAAGTGCAGCAGGATCTGAAAGTTAATCTGGCAGCTGTTAAGTTTCCTCAGAATCAAAGTTACACAGAGGTTGTTAGAGAAAAGAGCAAATAGAGCAGCATTGCGAAAGGGAAATATTAAGGAAGTCTGATTTGAAAAATAACCATCATTCTCTTGAACTAGTCGGGAGCTCAATTTTGCCTCACACATTAAAATGCCTCTAACTGCACTGTGGTCACAGAAAAAAGGACAAGGATAATTACGATCCAGTTTGACATGGAAACTGTTACTAATGCGCTTTCAAGGACGTGAATCCTTACAGTCGCATCACTAAAGTGCAATAACATGCTTTTGAAAAGTATTAGGAAAGTACACAGAATCATCATGAAACACTTTATGTTTACTTGCAACCAATATATAAATAGATTTTAATACTTTAAATTTTTTAGCTGTAAATCGAAGTTGGAGAAGATTTAAGCTCACGGGTCGTCATGATTTGAGATCGTTTATTGACCGCTGCAAGTGTTCGGGCCTAGCAAGATTGCGTCATTTTGACAGTTCTTTGAAGCACTTACAGATGACAGAGTAAAGACTCACAAAAGAAATCCCAGGAAGCGCAAAATCCGAATGATTCTTAGTTATTCCGTTTATAATTAACCAAATAAATGACTAGTATTTTCAGGACTGATTAGATTAATGATAAATTTTTTTCAACAAATTCTACATCTTGGAAATAAAATCAAGTCACAATCAATAGATACATTTATTTTTGGAGGAACTATAGACTCTTTTAAACTTATACATAACGGCCGAAAGTGGATGGTGGTTAGGCATCTTCCTCGAAATTCTCTCGATTCCAAAAGTTAAATTGCAGGTTAGAAGACATTCGAAATGACCAAATGGCATTTGTTCCTATTCAAAGGGTTGAAATGCCCTCAAGTTTTACAACTGGGACGAGAAAAGAAAAATATAGGCAAAACACTGCAAAATCTTTTCGTAGAGTTAAAAATCCCTTCCTCTTCAGCATGTGGCTAACGCAGTACAGAAATTGAGCTAAAGTAAGTTTTTAAAAATATCGACACTGTAAAACAGCACAAGAAAGTGCAGGGGAAATTTATTCATGTACTTCAGGCAGTGTACTGCTCTAAAAGCACAGAGAAACACCATTATCTTTTATATCTGCTGACGGTGATATCTTCTGGCAATTACCTGCGCAAAGTGCTTAACGCATTTTTTATCATGTACAATCGCGACGCTTCATTTATCAGTCCGAATTCTTATCTATTCATTTAACAAATACATTTTTGTAAACCACTGTTCCGTTTTTAATTACATTTCATGCCCTTTTTGGCCACTTAAGAGAACTTCCAAAAATATTCTCAAGGATAAATCGTGTTGCGTGTCCAC